GTTTTATCAATTCATCCTTCATTAGCCTCAACATCAGGTAACAACACATGGTATATTGATTCTTCCTGTTGTAACCACATGACACATGACCCTTGCCTTTTACATTCCTCCGAACATGTCACCTCATCCCTTCCTATACTTACCGTTGATGGGACCTCCATGTGCATTACCCATACTGGCCATATATCGTCCCCCCACCTCGATGATGTTTATGTCATTCCCAAATTAGCCCTAAACCTTGCGTCTGTCGGTCAATTGGTTGAGTAGGATTTTACTGTAATTTTTTCTTCTTTTGAGTCTAAATTTTCCATTCCCTTTGAGTCAGAGTCCCCGTTCTTTGTTCTGGAGTCTTATCCTCCTCCTGCAGGTCCCGAACCCCTGTTTGTTTCTGTTATGGATTTCTCTCCTCCTCTTGCAGGTCCCGAACCCCCGTCCGTTTCTGTTCTAGATTCCTCTTCTCCTCCTGCAGGTCCCGAACCCCCCTATGTTCCTGCTGGTCTGCCTGATGTTGATCTTCCCTACCAGCTGACCCTCCTGCGCCTCCTGAGCCTGTGCCCGACCCTCCGGAAATTTAAGTTCCTAGCGCCACTGATCGGCGACCCACCCGTGTAAGTCGTCCTCCCTCTCATCTACCTGATTATCATTGTTTTTCTGCCATTTTTTATCACCATGAACCCAGGACCTTTCGTGAAGTGAACTGTGATCCCTTGTGGCGCGACGCTATGTCTGAGGAATTGCATGCTATTGAGAAGACCGGCACGTGGGATATCGTCGATCTCCCTCCTAGCAAGAAACCTATTAGCTGCAAGTGGGTGTACAAAATCAAACCTCACTCCGATGATTCTGTTGAGCGCTACAAGGCGAGCCAGAGGTTTTTCACAGGAGTATGATATTGATTATGATGAGACATTTGCACCAGTTGCTCGTTTGACATCTATATGTTGTCTCCTTATTGTTGCCGTTGTTCGACATTGAAAATTATTACAGTTGGATGTGAAGAATGTGTTTCTTCATGGAGATATGTCTGAGGAAGTCTACATGACCCCTCCACTTGGCTCAGGTTTTTCAGGGAAGGTATGTCAGCTGCGTCGTGCCCTTTATGGACTGAAGCAGACGCCCCTAGCTTGGTTTGCCAAGTTTAGTGTTGCGCTAATTCAGTATGGCTTTTCTGCATCTCCCTATGACTCTGCTCTCTTTATTTGTCGTTCTCCTTCCGGGATCATTATTCTCTTGTTGTATGTGGATGACATGGTTATTACCAGTGACGATACTTCTGGTATATCCGATCTATAGACCTACCTTCATCAACACTTTGACATGAAGAGTCTTGTTTAGCTCCGCTATTTTCTCGGACTTGAGATTTCTAACGCTCCAGATGACATATAGCTATCTCAGGCGAAATATGCATCTGATCTCATATCTCGTTCAGGTCTGACTGATAACTAGATTGCATCTACCCCTCTCGAGAGGAACTGCCGATTTGCTCCTTTCAGCGGCACTCCACTAGAGGATCTCTCCCGCTATCGGCAGTTTGTGGGATCCCTGATATACTTGACGGTCACTCGCCCTGACATAGCTCATGCGGTTCATGTTGTTGCTCAGTTCATGACTAATCCCCGAACAGTTCACTATGCTGCTGTGTTGCGCATCCTTCATTATGTCAAAGGAACACTCCTACACGGTCTTCATTTTTCTGCTGCTCTCCATTGGTTCTTGCAGGTTTCTCTGATGCTGATTGGGCAGGTGATCCAACTGATCGTCGCTCTATCACAAGTTATTGTTTTTTTCTTGAGAATTCCCTTGTTTCTTGGCGCAGCAAGAAACAAACTCTCGTTTCTCGCTCTAGTGCAGAGTTTGAGTATCGTGCTCTTGCGGATTCGACTTCAGAGCTCCTTTGGCTTCGTCGGCTTCTTTCTGATCTCGGGGTTCCTTAGCCTTCTTCCACTTTCCTCCATTGTGACAGCACGAGCGCAATTCAGATCTCCCATAATGATGTCTTTCACGAACGCACCTGAGATTGATTGACACTTTGTTCGTCAGCATGTTCGTGCAGGCACCGTTCATCTATCTTCTATCTCTTCCGAGGATCAGACTGCGGATATCTTCATCAAGTCTCTCTTCCCAGGCCGATTCTCTACATTGTTGAGCAAACTCAAGTTAGTTTCTATTTTACCACTTTGATTTTGAGGGAGAGTGTTAGCATATTTTTTATATATTATTATTTTGGGCCCACATATATATGCCTACATATATGCATTCTCTTTTTAGTTAAAATATAATTTTTATTTTCTGCAAATATTCAAACAAAGAACATATATATTTCATGGTAAACAAAGAACAAAATTTTCTGCATTGATGAAAATCATTGTATAAATAGTGGAAGGAATGAAGTTTGATAGCCAATATGTTCTTTATAGTGTGCCTAGTAAAATTATCTTAATTATACAATCTTACACTTTAGACCATCGCCTTCATAACACCATTTCTTACCAAACCTAAAAAAAAACATCAATAAATTTCAAAAGAACACACCTTTTAAATAAAATTTTAAAGCGAATTCAAATAAAGATGAATATTTACACACACACAGACAAAAAAAACCTATCATAAACATCAAGGTGGGTAATGAATCATGCATATATACAGGCATATATATATATATATATATATCATCGATGAAACACCAAAATGTATGGCTCACAATTAAATAACAACTGTAACCACCCATTTGCAATCAAATTACAAATCATGTATATGCATATAATAATTGACTAATGATTAATTAGTCGTCAGAATTAATCGCAAGTCCCATCATCCAAATAAATTAAATTAATTAAAGTAAATTAAATTAAATTAAATTAAATCGCATGCAGCAGCAGCAGCAATCGTCCTTATCAGCAATTGAACTCAAAAGTCATTTCATAAAAGTATGAAAATCACCACCACCATACCACCAAAAAATTAAATTTGATTCAGTTTAATTCAATGCCCATAATGTATTTGTTGATGATTATGATGATGGAATTTAGCAACAAACAGCATATTAATATTAGGCATGCATTTGGAACAGAAACCCCACAAACACACACCAAAAAAAACAGTTGCTACATTGTTTAAATAGCACATAAAAACATTAAAATAATAATAATAATAATAAAAAAAAAAAATGTGTGTTGTTTGTTTTATAAATATATATCAAATGCTGATAATGTGTGTTATGTGAAGTACTAGTCTACTATTATATGATGTAATCAAGGATAGAATTTATATTATTCATATGCTATTAATTACTTAGCTTAATATTGTAACATGCTAAAAGTGCTAAGGTTTATTTGTCTAATATTTTTTTTTCGATACAATTCCTAATATATATTAATTTTTTTACAAAAAAAAAAATCAACACTTAATATAAAATATTATTTTTATATTACTAACATAATTTTCTATATTTTAGATTAAAAAAAAATTCAAATCAATACGCTAAACAAACAAACCGTAAGTAACAACAGACTGACCACTAGGGGAAGATATATCGATCAATATATGTATGTAGCAGGACAGGACATCATTAGATTATATATATATATGAGCAAGAATATTATAGTATATAATTATTAAATTAATTAATTAAACAGTCCCGCCACCATATCATATCATATATTTATATATGATAGAAAATGGTGGTCGTCGAGTCAAGTCAACAGAAATGGATCATGGATATATATTGTGGGTATTATTAGCTAGATCTGACTTTGTTTACGCAATATATTTTTATTTATTTGGTACTGATCATTTTTCAAAAAAAAATATCATTATTAAATTTTTATTTTTTTTACAAAATATTAAATCAAATATTAAATTTTTATTTTTTTTAAAAAGAAATTTCAAAAACCTTTGTTTAAACAAAACCTGAGTCTGTCTTATAAGTTTAGGTAGTGGATATATATATATATATATATAGATGATATGATATGATATTGAATGGAATGGTGATAACTGCCGCTGCCACTGCCCTTATTTTCCGGACACTACACTCACTCATCGGCATCGATCCATCGATCAGGTCAAACTTTAAATAAATAAATAAAAATAATATGAATTATATGGGTGTGTTGCTTTTTACCATAAAACCCCATTTTCTCCATTTGAATTCTGTCTTTTCTAAAATATTTCATCATTGTTTATTTTAATATCAAATTTAAATTAAAAATTTTAAAATTAAATTCATTATATTCTCTCTCAGTGCCTTTGGATCTTGAATATCATCTGTATGTATGTACGTACGTTGAGCAACAACAACTCCTACTTTTACTATTTCCTTAGTCAACACCTATATGTCTGAGTCTGACCAAAGGGATCACTGATCATATATACGTTGTTGGCAAGAAACATGGGCTAGTTGCCACAGCACTCCACTACTACCCATGCACTTCATATCATATTCATCATTTTAGTATCCTATCTTATCTTGTCATGTCATGTCATACCATAAGTTAACCTCCCTCCATTTTGTCCCATATATACATACATACAATTGACGTGTTGTGTTGTTAACTAAACTGCTTAGATAATCTGAATTATTTAAATATATATTGCTTTGCTTGTAGCATTTTTGCCTTATTTTGTCTTTAATAATAACAATAATAATACTAATGGTAATCAGCTCTGCAAAATTGGTTGAAAGATTATGAATAGCCTTCTTCACTTACGACTTTAATGGCCCAATGAATTGGGTGCTTATAATGCACTAACGGGCCGGGCCAGAGAAGCAGCTGGCTCTAATAACCCTGATTTTGACTGGCCCGACCACACTCATAAATCTATTTTATTAGTGGGCCATAAGTTGGGCAAGAGTCCAAAACTTGTACCTGTTATACATTCAAATGGCCCAGTCCAGTTATTGAAAATAATTTGCCAAATTCTTTGTTGCATTAGATTAAATTTAATTTTATGTTATGTTCTGCCTAACCTAAAAGAAATATTGCGTTTTGCCAAACAAATAAGTCATAAGTCACAACTTATTGCATTTCTCTTTTTTCTTTTTTACAACTACATTAACTAAGAAAAAAAAAACAAAAAAAAAAAATTTACTCAACGGCTAATCCTAACGATAGACGGCCAGGATGTTTCCACGGGAAAACGAAACATTTGATCGGCGCCGTTCGATTTCAGGCAGCCGGGTAGTCGAGCCCGAGCTCTATTTTAGACTTTCCAGCGGCGGCGCCTTCCTTCCACGCCGAATCCTTCGGCGGCTTATTACAGCGTTTGAACGACTTGAATCCCAGGGCCAAATCTAAGTCAACGTCTCCATCGCCGGAAGAATCAAGAGCCGGCTCCGGCGCGCCGTCGGAAGCCAAGCTCTCGGTCGCCCGGCTTTCCCTCTCGACATTCGGCTCAGCCGCCTCAGACTGGTGACTCAACGACGAGTCGTGGCTCGGCGACCGGTGGACATCATCACGACCCGACTCGTCGCCCGACCCGACCCAAATACGGCTCCTCCGATTCGTGTTCCTAGCGGACCGCTTGAAACGACTCGGTCTTCTGACTCGGTGCAGATTGTTCGACTCGGAGAGCTGACTCAGCTCCCTGTTCACATGCCTAATGTCGTACGCCTTCATCGGCGGCGCGGCCTTCGTCTCCGCCGCGTCGACGGCCAGCGGGGTAATCGGAGCGCCGTTGAGTACGGCCTCCACCGCCCTCTGGCAGAGCTGCCAGTTTCCGGCGGTGAGAAGGCCGGCGGAGCCGTATATCGGATTCACGATCCTCCCGCAGGCTTCGTACAGCAGAGAAGTGAATATAGCTGCAAAAAAAAAATTTTAAAAAAAAAAAAAAAGACCGTCAGAATTAGAAATCGAAGACCACTTAATCAAATGAGAGGGGGTGAAGGCGAAGCGTACCAGGTCGGAGGTGGGTGGGGCCGCCATTAATGAGGTTGATGAGGCCTGCACGGCCGTAGAACTTGGCGAGGAAGACGGTGGCGTTGGCCTGAGATTCGGGGCTTTTGATCCAATCCAAACACGGCCTTATGCTGCAGGTGTCGCTGCAACCTTTCCTCAGCACCCGACACCCGTTGCAACTTATCCGCATTTCACTTTTATTAATATAAAATAAAATACCAATTCGAACGACGAGGAAAAATTAATCGAATTTGTGTGTGTATTTATGGGGGGTAGGGGTGGGGGTGGGTAAGGGTTAGTAGAAACCAGGGACGCAGGCAGTAGTTTAAGTGGGGATGGAATTGGAATACAATACAATACAGGAGGAGGATTTCAAGATTCATGGATAGCCAGGCTCACCAACATCCGGGGGCGCGTGGGTACACGGGCGTGTTCCGGGGCCTCCCATTGGCGGTGTATGGGAAACACGGCGGAACAAATATAACACGGGCAAAGAAGCCTGTGATCGTCAGCAGTCTGGGTATCGTAGACCTGGAGAAGCTAAAAATAAAGTTAGTGAATGAAATCGTGATCCAGTGCATGCCGGACTGAGACAGAACATTGAGTTGTCTTGTTGTGAGGGATGATGCCACGTGAAGAGTGGTGGGGTAGCGCGTGGGGTGTCAGATGGCGGTCGAATCGCCGCGTATTGTGGAGGCCGAGGTGGAAGGGAAAGTGGGGCCCTCCCACTCCCGGTTTTCTGGAGACTCTGTTTGGACCGCTCCCAAAACAGTTGGCGACCATTTCGGATTTCGGATTTTGGTTTTGTTTCGTGGGTCTCGTCTCGGCTCGTCTGTGGGCGCCGCGCCGCCTCTCCTCGCCACAAGGTCGGGAAGGTTCTTGGGATTTGTTTGGACGAATTTTCAGATTAATAAATTAAATTAAAATTTTTAATAGTATGAAATAGGTTTAGTTGAAACTACTAATAAAACCAAAAAATTGCCAACTCCCATTCCATTATTTCAAGTCCTACTCTGATCACAACTACTACAAACACACGATACCCACTACGGTTTCTGCTCTGCTCTGTTCTGTTCTGTCTGTTTGCTGTGGGAAAAACGAAAACAAATATGCATGCTTACTGACTTTTTTAGCATAGATAAATTTATTACTCTTGCGGAAGAAATATTTAATATAATATTCTTATATAAAAAAAAAAAAAAACTGATAAAGTTAAAATAATAAAAAATTACAAAATAAACCATAGAAAAAAACGCAATGAAATTTTAAAAACTTGACAATTTAAGAAGCCATTAATCAAAAACAGGCAATTGACTGGGCTAGGCCAGCTCACAGTTTACAAACTAATGTTTGTCATCTAACCAAATTGGCTGCAAAAATTCTTATTATTATTCATGTTCTTAAGTGATGCCGGGCGTAGCAGTTTTGTTATGGGCTTGGGTTTGGGTGGAGGCTTTGAGCTTATGCGAGACCAAATTGCATCACTACTTAACACATATCTTTTTATTTTGAAGGAAAAAAAAAAATTATGTGAGGTATTAATAATTATGATGAATAATAATTAAATATTGAATATTTTATTTTGTTAAAATTGGTAATAATATAAATATAGTATCTAAATAGAATAGTACTAGTTCTTTCTCTAGCTTTTTACTATTTACAATGGGGAAACAGAAAAAGGTCTGAAATACTACTAAATTAAACAGCAAAAACATTAAAAACGGTATAGAATACAAACAGAAACATCCATTACCGTGTAGAGCTTGAATTTGAATCAAACTAGTAGACTATACCAAGGCGGTTTATAGCGTTTACCGAAAGCTTTTCAAGCAAATAGGATATTTATACAGACAGATATATATATATATATGTGTGTGTATTTCACCATAGATGACTGTAAGTGAGAAATTAACTAAGAAATGTCGAGCATTCATCATGGTTAATTGAACTCGTGTGTTCTTGTAAAAACTTGGCAACACTAATAGCTAATGCCTTTCATAATCTTAAATTGTACCTGGAATTATATTAAGGCAGCTTAATCTGAAGTCGAGGCACTTTCACGCTGTCAAACAAATGGAGAAAAGGTAAGAAATCTTCAACATGGCATTACCATATTTACATATGAACTCTCTGAACTATCAGCTCTGGATAAAAATGTGTTACTCATCAACTTAAATAATCAACTAGAATTTCCTATAACGAAGCTATCTATGGCAATGCTCGACTCTTATATACCTCCAATTCACCAACATTTGCATGCTTTTATATGTCATTCATTGTTTTGTACATCCAGTTGAAGCAGTTTATGAGGCAAAGACAAAGATGGACAATTGATTATGTATCAAACTATAAGTATTTCGATCTTTTCCCCCTAAGAGCTGCTTGTTTCTTCACTAGCTGTTCTCAATTATTTACAAATCTTGGCACAGCTGAATCAGAAGATGATGAACTTATGGAGCTTATGTTATCAACATCAAAAGGCTTGCACGTTAAAGGATTTTTGGTTCTTGGTGGAGGAGATCCAAATGTAAATGGGGTGACTTGTGAAAAACATTGCTGTGTCATACAGGTATTGCAAGATTAATCACTTTTGTGAAAACTTCAAGTTCTTGAAAGCAACATCTACATTTGACAAACATGAGCATCCTGTAAGCTTCAATCTAATATCTGGTGCCACACCAAATTTCTATGTTCTATACAACTCTGTTTATCTGGCATTAAACATGTAAACTCATCACACGGGCAATTGGATGTAGATTATATAATAGTAAACCCCTCCATGTAAATTAAGGAATAATATCCGTTGTACAAACATGGATATAGCTTCTAATATTACAGGAAATGAAAAGGAAAACATTTAATTGGCTAATCTAATCAACTTCCAGGAGGCAACCACATGGTCCACATATGATATGCAAAATTCTCTTGAAATAAACACCAAATGAAACTATAAAACTATAAGAAATCCATATTCAATGAATAAGAATTCATTTGGTACTTCGTCAGCAAAATAGGTTTTGTGAGGCTAACAGTCCAGCAGCAACCGACATCTAGCATCCTTAAAAGTTATACCTCAATAAGAACCAAAATTCTAATAGAGACTCTAAAATTTCAAATATCATAAACAACATTGTTAGACTCTGGATTTTGAATCGACGCAACATAGAAATCCAAGAATAAATCTGCCGCCTCGCAGCATTAAGAAGAAAATCACATTCAAACTCTTACGCATCGCACATTTAATCAAGCACACATGTTAACTCAAATTGCAAACGTATTACGAACAAATCTACCTGACGTAGGACTACGCCACGCCATTGCCCACCGACTACTGAATCATCATCAAACCTGCACCAAAAATATTAAATAAACCGCAAAATGTTACCGGATCTGATAGCATAACCGTGAAATCGAAGAAAGCAAAAATCAGATCAAACATTCCCTGATCTGAAATGGATGCTGGAATGCACTGCACTGCCTTGCGCGCTTTGGAGCGACTAATCCCAGCCGCCATGGGCTTAATTTGTATAGTTTAATTTAAATATATTGTTTATTATAATTAAAGATAAATAAAATAGTCCATTTTAACCGTAGAACCGCTTATTCGAAACAAATAAAATTAATTTTTTTATTTATTCATTTTGATTTTGTTTCAAATTTTAGTATTTTCGTGTTTATTAGTTAAATTGAATATAATTTAATTTAATTGTACTAATATATTTTAAATATTATATTAAAAATTTTGTTTGTTTTTAATTTGAATATGATGTTTTTTAAATATCAATTTAAATAATATTTTAATATTATATTTTATAAAAATAAAACTATTATTATTTTTGGTATCCTACTATTGTAAATAATAATATTTTTTATTGAAAATAAAATATATGGTGTATTTCTCTGTCTCAAAATTTCCAATTTTTTATTCTTTAGTATTTTAAAAAAATATATATATACATTTTTTATAAATATTTTAAATATTATTTTCATATCAAATTTAAATCAAATTTTTTTTTTCAAATTAATCAAAAGAAATACACTATATATCCCATAAAATCGGATCATTAGTGCTTGAAACAAAGTTGACTTATCTCCATCAATGGTGTTGACTCTTCGTTCTTAGTTTTAATTAAATCCGATTCAATTCAGAGTGAAATCAAAGTTTCACTTAACATAGAGATTTGTTTGATTTGGCTTGAGTTTTAAATTTTAATTTAAGTAATATTTTGTAAAAATTACTATATTTCTATTTTTTTATTTTTTTTTAAGAAAAAAGAACTATACTGACTGCATGATAGAGATTTGATTGGAAATTAAAATAAAACAAAAATTAATAGTATATAAGTTGACCTACGCACACCTAATAAATGTTATCAAAATTAATTAGTGCATTAAAGATTTTGTTGTCATTACAAAATTTTAATGTCGCTTGTTCTACCATTATTAATTTATTCTTTCACGTTCAAGCATTGTCAGCTTCTTTTCAACTTAAAATATCTTATACAATAATTTTTTAATGTACATTATCAAACTAGCCTAATTTGCAAAGCTGTCCAACATATTGCAACATATATATATATATATATATCTACAAATAACATCGTTGATTCTCACATCATCAATCCATTCCTTAAAAAATAAAAAATAAAAAATAAAAAATAAAAATGACTAATTGTTGCAAAATAAGAAGCTGAAATACGCGTTTCTTCTTTGATTAGACTTGGCCACGTCACACGCATCTACAGGCATTCAAAAATCATGATATTTTCTATATGTTGGTGCCAATAACAATTCAACAACACTTAAATAAACTTCTCTTTCAAACTTTATTAATTTTAGTTCCTTGGAAACAATTTTATGTGTTGCCTTTTTACAAACCGCCCCATTCAAACAAAACCAACTTTTATATATACATATATAGCACGTGTAATCTCACTGCAACTGCCACGTACACACTTTAAAATAAAATCGTATATAACCCAATCTTTGTCGACCCTCAGCTAATTAGGTCACGTTCATATTTCTTTAGTGCAAACTTTTCAGAAAAATAAGATTAACAACGTGCCATCCCCAAATTTCATTTAAAAAAAATAAAAAAATCTTGAAATGCGCATCGGCAGCATCGAGCATTGCATGTGCGCCACGTGTGAAGTCACGACCGGTCCATGTGCGTTAGGGAGAGCCGTTTGGTGTAATTAAACCGCACTGAACCGGAAAAAAAAAAAAAAAAAAAAAAAAAAAAAAGGTGGTTTCTGGTAAGAGTTCTTTCGTGTCCAATAACGTTGTCGCTTTTGATTTGGCTAACATTTATTGTTAGCCCATCTGTCACCCATCATACTATTTTCCCCTGTGCCTAATTGACTTCTTGTTGGTTAGTGGGCATCTCCAGGTAAGCATTATTACCACTCTCCCCTCCTTTCTTCTCCATAAATTCAGACCTCAAAAAAAAGAAAAAACATACCTCAACATTGATCATATTCATCCCACCATGGCGATGTCTTCCTGTCTTTTCCGACCACAACTCTCTACCCCAATTAAGGTACAGTTCGTTAATTTCGAGGTTTTCTAGGGTTGATTCAGTTCCTACACTGATCGGTTACTTAATATACTCTCTGCAAATTAAAGTTGCGTGTCTCTGATCGGAAAAGCAGCCTCCGCCGTACAATGGTGCCGCCGGAACCCTACCGGAGATTCCTCCGCCACTCCACAATATCCGTCGCTATCCGACGAGATTCCGCAATACATGCTTCATGTAATAATTCCTTATTTCTTGCAATAATCTTACGCCTTATATAATTATTTACATTCTCATTCCTATCGTGAATTGTTTGAAGGGCTGCCGAGTTCGCAGATCGCTGGCAGCGCATTTACATGGGGTACCGTTGCCGTTCTCCCGTTCTACACCTTAATGGTCGCCGCGCCCCGATCTGAATTTGTAAGCATTAATTATGTCTTTATTCATCCAATATTATTTTAAAATTGCATATTTTTTAAAAATAATAATAAACAATAGAAAATGACTTCTATAAAAGTGAAAAAATAAAAAATAAAAAATCAAATATTCATTACAAAAAATTAAAACATAAAAAATCAATTTATCTAAAACGAAGCCTATAATACACATATATATTTAATTTTAAAATAATTTTTAAAGTAAATTCAAACAATGTTACAATGAGCTGATTAATAATATATTTACAACATTGTTATCGTGCGATGGGCTTACAAGAATATACATTGCCGGCACAGACAAAAAAAGTGTCGGCAAGCAGCGCACCGTTCGTCATCCTCGGCGCATTGTACGGTTACCTACTTTACTTGTCGTGGACGCCGGACACTGTCCACTTAATCTTCGGCAGCAAATACTGGTTACCCGAGGTTCGATTATTTCTTCCTACGACCAATTATTATTAATCCATGTAAGAACAAAGTTCATAGTACATGTTTTGTATGTGTGTTCGATCAGCTTCCAGGTATCGCGACAATGTTCTCCTCTGAAATGACACTGGCTTCGGCCTGGATTCACTTACTGGCCGTGGATCTTTTCGCCGCGAGGTCTGAAAAAAAAATATTTATTTATATCACATCAAATATTATTTTAATTAAAAATTTTATTATTTTTATGGAAACAGAAAAGTTTACTTCGAGGGGGTGGAGGAGGGTTTGGAGACGAGGCATTCAGTGACACTCTGCCTGATGTTCTGCCCCATTGGAATTCTTGCACACATAATTACCAAAGCCGTGGCTGCAAAACGGGGGAAAACAGAGAGTGGGATTCATAGATAAAAGCCATGTTATGTTCAGACACAGAGATGCAGATTCAGACAGCTCTAGATTCTTAGCCATTTCTTTATTGATATATTGTGATTTTGGAGAAATGATTGATTGTGTCGTTTAGATGCCAAACATGGGGTTTGAGGAAGATGAATTTTTATTTGTAGGGTTGTCGGATTACTTGCTGCTGCGGTTAGATTCAGTATTGACCGGACCTCTGGTTGTGTAATACTCATTCAAGCATACTCCATATATTTTAATCAGTATTTAGGAATTCAAAAAAGAATTGTTATTAGACTAAAATATTCCAAATTTAAAAATTCGATTCCTTAAATTGAAATTTAAATTTTGGTTCGAATTTAACTCGCTATACTAAAAATTCGAAACAATCCAAAATTCGAAATATAATGAATTTGTTTGCTTAATAATTTTTCTTTGGTGGAATTGTCCGTATATATAGTCTCTCCGTTTCAAAACAATAAAGATATTTAGGATTGACACGACAATTAAGAATTAATAGTATTATATTGATAGTAAGTGTAAAAATATTACTAAAAGATCAAAATATCCTTACTTTTTTATGTAATTATTATAAAAAAATAGATATAGCTTTGTAAAAATGTGGGAAGCTTGTTACAAAAAAAAAAAATATAAACAAGACTATTCTTTTGAGTGAACAAAAATAATCAGAATGAGATTATTGTTTTAGAATGAGGAGAAAGTATATACTTTCTCCGTCTCATTTAAATGTTATCATTTTTTATTTTCGTCTGTCCCAAAAACTACAATTTCCTAATTTGGTAATTGTACTGTATACCTAACATAATAAATACTCTTTCAACTTACAATATATTACACAAATATCATTACTTTTATATTACACTATTTAATAAAGGTATTTTTACTTTTTTTTTACTATCATCCAATATAATACTAATATTCAAAATATTAGTGCAAAAAATAAATGTCACTCTTCCAATTGGACGGATGAAGTATTATCTTTTGACTATATAATATAAAAAATTCTCAAATTAAAAAGTAAAACAAACTAACTCAATATTTTAATATATTTTATTATTATATATATTTAAAATTCAAACAAAATATAGTTTTTAATTAGAAAACTGCATCATTTTTTCTTGCGAAAGGACGAAAGTGATCATTTTGAAACTTTCAGGGGTTAAAATGGAATTTAACTAAGAAGGGATTATCTAAATTGCGGCCGTCGCCGAATTAGGGTTTATGAGGTATAAATCATCTCTGAAAAGTCTGGCTCCCTCCGCTTGCATAGCTACATCCCGCGAGTTGCTTTCGACGTCGGAGCTCCGCCACATTTCCCTGCCGTTTTTTCACTGCAAGGTACCTGATGGAGCCGCGATTTCTAGGGTTTAGGTGTTTATAATTTATTTTTATTATTATTCATTTTATTTTTTTCATGCGAATATTTGAGTTTCATAGGGCGGGTGGTAATGTAGGGTAGGTTTTGAGGAAGTTTGGAACGTTGATAGTCTGGATTGTATGTTCAGCCTTTATTCAGATGTTTATGAATGCCTTTCAATGAATTGTCGATGTGAATTTGATGCTATAATTACGCTGCGCATATCGGTTATTTGGTTATCGGAAAATTGGTACGATGAGTCCTTTCGTGCTTGTTAGCATCGAAGAGGAAGTATGTAACATGATACAAACTAGGTGAATTCGGCTGGTAATTCGTCTGATTCATTGTACGTAGGCACTAATATTGGGATGCATTTTTCCATTTACCTTTGCTTTTTAAATTAGCCAAATAATTATTCAGGAAAAAAAAAAAAAAAAATGACAACACAAATATTAGGATTTCTAGTCGAAATTAGCATTTATTAAATGCATTTTCTTGCTTAGTTTCAAGATGTACACTGCACTACAAAAGATTCACAAGGACAAGAATGCTGATCCCACTGAGTTTGAAGAGAATGTTGCCCAGGTTCACATCAATTTGATGCTGCTAAATTTGTTTATGCTACTGTACCTGAATTTTTTATGGGTTTTACTGTAAAGTTATGCGTTTTGAATTTATTTCCAGGCTTTATTTGACTTGGAAAATTCCAACCAAGAGATAAAGGGTGACCTGAAAGACCTTTACATCAACTCTGCCTTGTAGGTGTCTCATTGTTTAAATGTTCTGTGTTCTCTTTTTTAGCATGATATAATATTTATGCATACATTTGATGCTGCAGGCAAATTGATGTTCCTGGAAGTAAGAAGGCTGTTGTGATCCATGTCCCCTACCGATTGAGGAAATCTTTCCGCAAGATCCATCCTAGACTGGTGAGAGAGCTGGAAAAGAAGTTCAGTGGGAAGGTAAAACCGGCAATGTCTAAACAAAATGCACATTATAAATTACTGCTGCAATTGTTTTTGTTGTGGAGATGTTATATGTCTTTCGGGTCTTGAAGATATATTCCTCTCTCTCTTTCACTGCCACTTAGGCTAAGAAAATTTCTATCTGGTTACCCTTCAGATGTTTATCTGATTTTTTGTTATGTGTGTGTGTAGGAAGTTGTTCTAATTGCTACCAGGCGGATGCTGCACCCGCCAAAGAAGGGTTCTTCTGTTCAAAGGCCTCGATCCCGCACACTTACTGCCGTGCATGAAGCTATGCTTGAGGATATTGTTTACCCAGCTGAAATTGTTGGGAAACGTGTTAGATACAGACATGATGGATCAAAGATCATGAAGGTGGTTACTTCTTTTCTGATGATCTTTAATTTATCGGATCTATTGCATATGAAGCCTCTTAGTAATTATGTAACATTTGATTCTTCATATATGCAGGTTTTCTTGGATCCAAAAGCCAAAAACGACACTGAGAATAAGCTGGAAGCATTTTCCGGTGTCTACAGGAAACTTTCAGGTAGAGATGTTGTGTTCGACTACCCTGTCACAGAGCCATGAAGTTGAGGCAGCTAGCGATTTGCTCTTATTACTTAATTTAATTTAAGCTGTAGTTAGTTGTTAGTTCTTGATATGTTTAAGATTTTGACACCTAGAAAACTCTTTCCGTCTTAAATCACAATGTTTCTGTGCCAAAAGTGATGAATGCAAGGCCTCTTGTTACAATGCCTATTGTGTTCTTTTATCGATATTCAAGGTTGCCTTATAGTGAAATTTCTAGATTACATGCATAAATATTTTACCAAAAATCATGTCCTGTAGAATCCAGAGCACCAAAATTAAGCTAAGGAGGTATGGAGTATGACGAAGCCAATAACGCTCGTTATTTCGTTTTTTTTATTTCTTGATATAATGTATGAGTACAGATTTGAGTCTAATCTGATTGCTACTCTTACATAAAAGAGAATGGAAAGCTCCCACTTGCTGCTGCCCATATTTCATCTCTCAAAAACTCTGCTGTTCACTCCGGCTCTGTATAAACTCAAACCGGAAACAGTTTCCACGGTGATCTTAGAGTTTGCAGGAGCAAACAGTACGTCGCCTTCAGTAATCACATCCCCGGAGGTGGCTGTGCTTATTTTGCCTTCTCCTGCCACAACCACAAAAACAGAAGGGCCCGGGACTGCAGGAAATACAGTAGATTCTTCTTTGGGGAGATTGCATTGATCAACCTCGAATTCATCAAATGGAGGAAGGTACTTCATAGTATAAGGATTCGAGGGAACCCCGTGCAGTATTTCCGGAAAACCCTGCAAGAAAACATTGAGTTAATCGCGCAAATGGATGATGGTATTGGCATTGATTTTGTCGTGATTGTAGGATAATGACTGCCTGTTTGTAGGTTAGCATGGAACAGAGTGTCTCAACATCCCGAGCCTTTGGGGTGAGGCCTGCTCGTACGACATTATCTGATGTGGCCATGCACTCGATGCATTCTCCGTGTATATAGGCATGAGGCTCGTTTGCTCCCAAGTATAAAGCTTCGCCGGGATTCAGTTTCACGTAGTTGAAGAGAAAAGTTGCTAGAACACCAATATCTCCGGGGTATTGCTTCTCAAGCCGCAGGATAAGCTCTTCTTTGTCTGTTAACTCTCTCACCTATTCAGACAAGAAACCTCAAGAACAGTTGGATTTATGCTGAAAATGTCTCAAGAATGGTCTTTCTCGCGTACCTCGTGTTTCAAGTTAAGTCGACTTATCAAATTTGCGATTGCCTCAAATATCACAGCCTCACTTGCGGACATGAGTTCGTAGAAAAGTGATTTCAAGACTTGTTTCGATATGTTCTCCCCGGTTTTGTCGTTTAGTTTTAGCACTTGTTCTGCAGACGAGCTGCCGATCACTTCGATGATCTCTGGCACGTTTTGGACGACAGTCTTGAGCTCCTTAATGAAGTCAAATAAAACAGAGAATGCATTAAGCACAAGAGAGATCGATCAAATCATTCATACTCATAGATCAAACAAGAACTACTTCCCAAGGACTAGATGAATATTGGTTGAATTGAGGAGATGAACATGAACATGAAGATTAACTAACTGAACTACCTCGAGAGAGACAAATCCGCACAAAGCCTCGAATTCAGTGACCGCCAAAGCCATCTCAGGTTTGTGATTATCGTCCTTGTACACTTCCGGCCGCTCCTTGTGAAGAATCTCCGCCAACGCCTTGTCCGGATGCGCCTGTATCGACAGCGCCTTCTCCACCGACAGAACCTAATGGATTCATTCATTTCCGACGTGGAGAGAGCACGGCGGTTACGACGACACGAACAGCAACAGAAACTGAAATTGAAATTGAGTTATCTACCTTGAAGAGGAAAGGCAGATTTGAAGCCGACTTCAAGTCACCGAGCACGCTAGGATTCCGCTCAATCCAATCCTTGAGACTTACTAAATCGCAGTGCCTCTGTTTTTTCCGATCCTCGTTCGCGAATCCGGCGCCGCTGTTTGGCAAAACCACGTACGACGGCCCCGATTGGTGAGTCCCCATCCAGAATTCAGCGTATGGCTTGTCCCCGTCGTCCGCCGCCTCTTCGCCGGTGTTTTTGGCGTACAATCGCGCCACCGTTGATTCCTTGCCGACCTTTCCCCAGTCGTAGTTCTTAACGGAGCACTTCAGTTTAACTATTCCGGCGACTTCCGATCCCATTTGAATTACCGCTACCAGAATTTCGACTAATCAGCAGAAAAAGTAGCAGCCGTAGAAGATGAAGATGAAGACGAAGATGAAAGATGGGAGTCCATTGGAAATCGGAAGGTTTGATATTTAAATGCAACGATCAAGAGCGAGGGAAATGGTGGTGCGTCTCTGTGCGAGAGAGAGAGATAAACGGCGTTAAATGTAACGGCGGTGCGGTGAGGCGGTGGGGTGACGTCGGACAAAGTGTTGACATTAATCGGAAACGGTAACGGCGGCAGCGTCAGCGTGTGGGACCTCCACACCCTTCTGGATAGAATGCTGAATCTCGGGACTTTCACACCTGACGTATCCACGACTGATATAGAGTGGTCCCCACTCCATGAATGGTCCAGATTTATTTTCGTTTCGGATCCCGGACCGCCCAATATAGTAAATCCAATATTGAAATTGGAATACTACAATTTAATAGGTAATCTAATAACTTTGATTAATCATGATAGTTACATTGTAAATCTCTAGGGCTAAATTATTTTCCCATATTAATTAATACAAAATTATTAGTGTCAAATTTGATGTAGTCATTTAATATAACGTTGAAGAGTTGTGCTTTGGACAGTTTGGTAAAAATATTAATGCCATTTGAAATCTAGAAGCAACTAATGTATTCACCTAAATCTTTCTTGCATGTCACGTGACACTGGTGATCAAAGCAATCACGTCCACTTTCGACTATAATTTTGGATTTATATTTTAGTATGGAATGTTATTTGAGGTTTTTTTTGAAAAAATCCAAATTATTATTTATATATGTATGTTTATTTACATGCAAATTGGCAAATTGCCGTAATATGTTTAAATTTTGTAAATAAATATAATATAAAGGAATAAAAATTAAAAGTGTGTAGAAATTATTTACAATAAATAAATAATAGTAGTATATACTAAATATATATTTGGTTGGAGCTTGTACGTGATATTAAAAAACAAAGAAAGATATTTCTATTAATAACCTTTTTGATATCATACTATTCAAATTTTTTCTTGGCATTATATCAAATTGGAAAATTGAAATTAAATGAGTGCTGCTTACCTAAATTATATATTAAAATTACTAATATACAAATGTTGGTCATTAGCAAATACTATATGTTTTTTCAGCACTATATCCATATATGAGAAGAGGAAAAATGTTTTTGTCGTCCTGAGGTTATCTGGAAATGCGATTTTAGGAGTTAAGGATTGGTCCAACGTAGGCATCATTGTAATATCCACCGCGCCATGTGCTGTGCGGCCGTAGATAATTTCGGATATGCAAATTGCAAATTGAGGTGAGGAAGTCGCTATCGCGAGATAGCTCGAAATTCCCAAATAAAGTAAAAAGCGTGTTTTGGGCGGTATCGCATTCCCCGAAAATACTTATCGTATAAAATTATTATACTCCCTCCTTCCCGTAACAAAGTATTCAATTTTTTAATTTTGGTTTGTCTCATAACAAAATATCTATTTCATTTTTTAGTAACTATACTGTCTACCTCACATTACAAATACTCTTACAATTTAAAATATATTACACAAATATCATTACTTTTATATCGCACATATTAATAAGATTATTTTCGTCATTTCTATTTTATTTATACTACATCCCAATATAATACTAATATTTTTAAAACTACGTGTAAAAAACATATGAATATTTAATTATGAGACATAGAGAGTATATTTATTTATTTATTTATATATGGAAATATTTTTGAATGGAAAATTTAGGTTTGTTTAGATAGAAGTTTTTAAAAATTTGGAAGTTTGAAAAAAAAGTAAAAATTTAGTATTTGATTTGATGTTTTGCGAGAAAAAAAATATATTTGATATGATGTTTTTTGAAAAATGAATAACACTAAATTAGTGAAAATGTGTTAATATAGCCGAACGGTGATTCGACCAAATGTGCTTTGGTGTAAAAAAATAAAAAATAAAAAATAAAAAATAGGAATGGGCATTGTTCAGAATGGATAAGATGCGATGAGTATATTCCGTCCGATCACGACCCTTTGTTATTCCAATCAATCCCAGCCGTCCGTTGGGTTGGGAAATTCAATTGAATTCGGTATGGTTGGAAGTGAATTGATTGAATCTGTAAGGGTGTGTTTGGTTGGGTCTTTCAAATGTTGTTTGAATTTTGGAGGAGTAAGAGATTATTATTCTTCCAGTGTTTATGATTTGTTGGTATTTTTCTTGTTAGTTATTATATTAGATTAAATTTAATTAAATATATGTTGCATTGTAACTCGATTTACAAATACTTCATTACTCACCGGTAAGACCCAATTTACAATCACATCTCCAACTTAGCATTCAATAATTTTAATGTAAGAGATTATACAATGTAAAAATAATAAAGACTAAAAAACAAACAAACACATTCCTTGAAAAGAAAACAAAGCCAAATTAATCACATTAAAACAGTTTGGGAAAAAATAATGGTGCAAGAAATGAACATCGATCAAGACAAGATTACAAGTCCGAGGTATATCGACCCGCACAGAAACACGAAGGATATCATTCCCCTGCAGGAAGAAGAACAAGGTTCAGACAATGTCCCGAATTTTTGTTTAAGCTCGATCTCGTTAAACTTTAATGAACGTTTGTACATACCAGATGATTCCCCATCCGACTCCATTACAGGGACAGGGACAGAGCTCGGCGAACTTCTCAGCATCGCTCGAGTGAACTCTTCGAGATATCAGATCATCGTATATGTCTGAAACACAAAAATAATCATCAGACAGTGTCTGTTTGCCTAAAAAAATCGGTTATACAGAGATTATGAGGAGGAATTTATACCGTAGACCGAAAACAGGCTATTCATCACACCTGCCGTTCAGCAAAGAAACGATGAGCAACACGAATAAGTGTAAAGATGATTTTTTTTTTTTTTTAAAAAAAAAGCATCGAATGTGTAAACCGGATGAATCTATACCAATGAAGAGAATAACATATCGAAGGATACGGGCTTTTGTTGTTTCTTGCAGAACCCAGATAATAGCTATAAAAATTATGAATCCTGGTAATCAGACAACACAAAAAGAATCAATGTACCGAATTTTCTTGAATTCAATTGCAGTTTAAGTGTAGGAGTGGTCGATCAGCTTACCTATACAAAGCCCGCGCAGCGTCCACTGTTCAATGCCAAAGAAATCGTTAAGTTGTATTAAACGGCTAAGATAATTTATCATGTGTACTCGGGACCAGTCCGTGTCAATTTTTTGCAAACAAAAGTTAAGGCGTCAGATTACTTTTCAAGGGTCTTACATTTTTGGCGATAAAGAGTACAATCACAAGCGAAAGAATAAGACAGCCGGCAGCAATCCTCGCAGTCAGAAGATTTGTTGACGCGAGTATAAGAGCCATGCCCCAAAAGGATGAGCCAAGATCTATAAAAGAATGCAATTACAAAACATAAAATTGAGGGCACGATCGAATGGGTGATAAGGACAAGAAAATTACATCCAGCTGGCAAGATCAACCAATACACGCCGCCGCGCGTTTGAGTCATGCCCCCTTCGTTAGCGTGAACTTGGATGCCCTCCACCTAGATACAATAGAAGAGAGCATTTGTAAGAGCAAACAATGGCAGCTTCAACCGATGTAAGAAAAATATTGTGGTAATAAGCCTTTTACCTCGCCGCACGTAAGCTTACAAGCGATTGCATGACTGGCTTCATGAAGAAATACGGTGATGAGCTTAAAAGGTGTGAGCAAAAATGTCCTCCATAACTGCCACAATAGCCAAAAGGTCGACTCAAATATGTAATAGCGATGCAGGTCTTCAATTTTCTAACATATATTCTACTTTACAGGTTCAAGACACAAAAAACAAGCCTACCACGATCTCTACTTTAGATTTTCAAATTTAGTACAAGATCTTGTAGCATTGGTTCGAGAATTTAATTCAGAACTCCAAAACCAGACGACTTTACTAATAGTTAAGTATAAGGCCAATTAGTGCGTGAACCCCAAGTTGTTGCTCGATTTATGAAAGTTAATTAGATATCTTATATACATATCCAAGTAGTTGAGATATTTATTAAGCACAACTTTAGATGAAATTTACAGCATGTTCATTCAGAAACGAAAGTAATGGAAATCAAGATGATCACACACACACATACACGAAAGAAAGTCGAAATTTGGTGACTAGTTCAACGAACCTACGAAAGCGCCAAATTATACATTTTCATTAATATAAATATAACTAAAGTTTTGATAGGATACATTGAGTATTAATAGGCGTAAACATAAAATCCTAACGAGCCAACGATGCAGAAAAGGTATTGGTCCAAAAATATAGGCGGCCCCCTTAGACCCCCCCGGCGAACTCAACAAGTTCGATCACCACTGTTGATCTTGGATATCCAGTAATCCATCAAACTTCAACTTAAACTTCACAACAGAGCACATTCAACTTTAAGTTGTAATATTCATACTTAAGTTTTAAGCACAAATTTCTCAAGTTTTTGGAGAAGTTCATACTCTGTATTCTGATTATTCGAATTTGTGTGACAGATAACTTTTCTACATTTGTTGTTTGCCTTAATTTTGATTTCTCAGCCATTGTTTCTTCAACTTTTCCAAATCCAAAAACATCTCAATTTCGCAATCTAAATCCTTATAACTCTACTCCTCCCCAAATCGCGACAACGTTCGTTCTATTAGTAGTTGATACAGTGGCAGGAAAAAGCTTAACTACAAAAAAATTTAGAAAAACAGAAACCCCAAAAGGAAAGCAGAAAAAATCTCAAATAAAGCACATATGCATTTGTAAAGCACTCGCAAAAAGCAGGGTGAATCTTCACTGACAAAAAGGTAAATCAAACGCAGCAAAGAACTTACAGCAAGTATAACCACAGTGAAGACGCCAATGGAGGCAAGAAACACTACTTGCTCATGCCGGCAGCAATTCCTCAGTTCCCAGTTCGGATTCATGGTTTCCCTCCCCTCCCCTGCCCAATCAAATTTAAAAAATGCTATACACTTTCGAGATTTCCAGGATCTTGACAAATCAAGACCCCGGGAGGGAGATGAACAGCACAGAAGAAGGGTATTTCGGGTTTGAGATTTTGGATTTGGGGAAGTTTTTGTTATGGTTGAACAATATTTGAATTTGATTGGGCGATTGGAATTCGATTCAACATTCACAGATTGCGTATAGTGTATGTTCACAGAAGGGTCAAATGGTAAATAAAATATTCAAATTGATGGGCTTTGTTTTCTTCTTATAGATTCTATTTTACTAATAGGCCTTTAGCCCATCACTATGCGTTGCCTGGCCCAATAATAAAAATATATATATATATAAATAAATAATCAGAGAAATAAATTAAAAATAAAATACTAAACCTTTTAAGCATCCACTAATTCATGCTTTGGATAAGAAGGGGTGCTAAAAAGATACACATAACAGATAAGAACATTCAATAAAGGGTTTTTGGTCACATGGCCTAGTGGTTCCAATTAATTGAAATATTTTGCTAACAATATAATCAATTAAGAAAAAATTAAGATGAAAAATAAATAAATAAAATTTCTGAGTGTGGGCATCATCAAGGAAGAAATAATGGGCCTATGGGCCCATTATTGTACTTTTCCTTCCATAGATGGGTGAGGCAATCAGAGTACTTCCTTCTCAACCCATCTTTAATATTTATCATTCATCTCAGATTATTACCATAGTCTATAGCTATAATTGATTCTAAATAAATAAATATATATATATATATATGTATATGTTGATCTTACTATTGATTCGATGGTGACAGGTTTTGAAAATTTGATCCTTTACGTTATAATTATGAGTTTCCAATTCAGTGATGCACAAGTTTACGATATGAAGTTGTGTTGTGTTCTCTCATGATTCATGGAGCAGATAATAAAGTCTACAACTTTGTTATTATTTATTATATTTTGTACCAAAATGAAACCATTGCAATTCTTTGTAGTGAATTATTTTATTTTTCAAGAAATATTAGTTTATAGAAGATATATCCAGATGTGGAAGTGGGCTACTTTTTGGGCAGATCATGTGTCCCAAATGTTTGGCATGGGAATTATTTGGGTTTGTTTGAAGCACATGTCTTCCTCTTCACTTTGTCCCTCACTCAACCCTAATCTCAACCACCGTTAACATTTATTTCACTTTGCATAATTGAACTGTAAAAACATTAATTACTATATATATATATATATTGTAGTGCAAGTGTCGATTTGAATTTACAGAAAAGGTATATATAGATATAGGCAGTGACCATATATATGATATGATATGATATGATTGGCATTTAATATCATCTTCCCACGTCGTCATAAGTAAAATTCGTATACTTTTCTCAAAGGGCACTCAAATTATATGTATTGTCAATTTTATTACGACATTTTGTTTTGTTTTGTCTTCAATTCCAAGCTCCATTCTTTCATTATTAATCTTCCCCTCCACTCTTTCTTGAATAAATCCCATTTCTTACAGCCTGTCTGTGTTCTCAAATCTCTACGTTGTTGTTCTTGATCAGATATTATCAGAATTTTTTTAATTGAATCGAATTCAATTCCGCTATGGCACTAATGGGAGGGGTTCCTGACAGCCCTAGATACTCCTTCTCACACGATCTAATCTCCCAAAACGACGCCGTTCCAATCCCCATCTCCGACGACCACTGCTTTCCCTCAAATCCTGCCGCCGGCGACTTCGATTTCTGCGTCTTCCGGGAAAGCTTCGACCAGGAGTCCTCCTCCGCCGACGAGCTTTTCTCCGACGGCAAGATTCTCCCAATCCAGATCAAGCAAAAACCACCACCTCATGTAAGAAAATCACGGCCGCCGCCGCCGCCGCCGGCGAGGCAAATCGACGATCCTCCTCCGACCAAGTTTCCAGACAATTCATCCGACGGCGAAGAAAAGCACCACAGCTACAAACCCTCATTCTGGCGGATTAAGCGCAGCTCCAGCCTCAACTGCGGCAGCGGCTATGGCGGCACGCTCTGCCCGTTGCCGATTCTTTCCCGGAGCAATTCCACCGGCTCTACTTCCTCCGGCGCCGGAAAACGCTCCCCAAATATTCCAAAGCAAAATTCCTCAAAATTCTCCCCTCTCAAACAACCTTCTTCCTCCTCCAAACCGCCATTGAAGAAAAGCTTCCACTCAAACACCACGGCGGTTAAAATCACTCCGATCCTCAACGTCCCTCCGGCCAATCTCTTCGGCTTGGGCTCCATCTTCTCCGGCGGCAAAAAGAAGCACTGATCATCGATTAATTCATCAATTAGATTAACAGAAACGAAAATCGACAATGGCGATTAAGAAACCCCTTTCGTTTGGTAATTTATTTTTTTGATTCGATTGTGATCGAGTGCTTTCATGGTTATGTCGTCATCTTCTTCGTTGTACATTCATGGAGCTGTCTTGATGCAAGAATTGGTACTTTCTTTTTTCACGTACTTGTCGTGGTTTTGTAATTTTACTGCAAGATTGGTTTCTACCACAGACTTTCTACACTACTTTTTGTCTGGAGATATTTCTGAACCCCAGGTGGAAGAAGCGAGCGAAAATTAATCAACGGCTGTAACGTTTCTGAATGGACGGTCAGGATGGAAGGAATGTTGGGAAGCCAGATTTGGAAATCCCGACCAAACCACGCTCACTCTATTTATAGTAATTAATCACGTTTATTATTAATTAATTATACTAAGATATGAATTTTTCTTTTTATTAATTTACCTATTATGTCAGTTTTAAAAATAAATTAACCATATGTAAGTAAAAAAATTAAAAATAAAAAGTTTTTAATTTTATTCAACTGCGTTCACGTCGGTGCATGCAAGGCACGTGCACAGTCGCTGTACCATGGGGTACAAGTATTTAATGCGTCATATACTTTTACTGCTACGGTACGGCATGAAGTATGTAGGAAATTGTATATGCGGAGTTTGGTTTCCAATTTAAGTCATGCTTTGATTATATATGTCATCCTGATAAATAGTTCATTTTTAAATTATATTCATTGTACGGTCAATTATAGTAAAAAATGATTCTAGTAATTAATTTGATTAATTCAAATATATATTCTTCCTAACTCTGAAGTTGTCAATTATGCTCAAAGGCGCGTTTTTTTTCATTGCTGCGAGGAGACAAAAGTCGTCATTGAATATATAAATTAATTCACAGGCACGAATTTGAATATCTGATTGCACACAACATTTTACCATATAAAAACCTGTTATTACCCTTTTTCTTTTTCTTTTTTTTTTTTAATTTTATAATTAATTTAATACAATTAGATTGAATTTTCTACAGCACTTTAGCATCATTTAAAACAAATAATAATAATAAATATTAAAGCATCATTTTCAGTTACATTGTTATCACTGTTCGTTCTACGTAACATGTCATTTTTTTTATTTTGAAAAATGATTATGTATTTTAATTTTCATTTAAATTTTATATTTTATAATTTTTTAAATTTTAATTAGACTAATTAGTTATCTTTAATCTTACGACATAAAGGTGAAAGAGTGGAAGACTTCACCGTTAAACTATACCCTCATCCATCTTTTTTTAAGCTTGGAAATCTTATTATCTCTTTTTTTTTTTTTTTTTTTTTTTTTTTTTTTTTCTATGTATTCTGTCGATATGTCTTAAATATAGTTTGTTCCTTAGATGAATTTCACGGGATCTCGTTGACGATATACAATATTGGGCTTTTGAGCTCGTTTTTGTTGGGGTGCAAACTCAAGTTTCACATTGGAAGTTGCGAAGAAAATTACACACTTTATAAGTCCCACGTGAACTCCACTGGGATGAGGCCTTTTGGAGGATATCCAAAAACAAATTTGTGTGGCTCAGCCCAAAGCGGACAATATCATACTAGTATTGAGTTGGCCCAGTCCCAAAGTGGTATCAGAGCCCGGTTAGATGGTGAAGTGGACTTGGTGGCATTGGACATTGGTCGTGGTGATTCATATTCTAATGGCTTAAAATTTTAGGTATCCGTCATTTACATCATTTAAAATAGTATCAAAATCTTGCTCATTTGTTAAGTTAAACGAATCGAATACAAACATAAATTTTAGTTTGTTATTTCGCGAACGTTCTACAATATTTATTAAAAAAAATAAATTAATATTTTTATATTTAATAAGTAAATATATATTTTTAAAAATTATATTTAAAAATAAAATAAAAAATTCTCTTAGCGAGTCTCACACAAATAAGAAAATTGCTAAAAAAATAAAAATGGAATTCATAAAAAATTCAGCTCGTATCTTGATTAGCTAAGGAATCGAACTCAATCATGACATGCAAGCTTGGTAAATTACAGCTATGCCAATAAATAAATAACAAAACACACCCTAATTCCGGACGTCAATTTAAAACGTGGAAATTCAATCCAAATCCATAAAAACAGAAAGTTCCAGAAACCATTATAGACATTATCCTTAACTTGTTTTTCAATTAATTATCATATATCTATTCATATTAATAATAATTTTTTTAATAAATTATATTCCATATAGTATAATCTATTGCTGTGCAACAATAGTTTTATAAATATAAAAAATTATATTTCAAAAATAAAAAATAAAAAATAAAAAATAAAACGCCCATAGTACAAACAAACACAATTTATTAATTATAAAGATAGATCGGAAGCATAGTCAGCAGCGTTGCAATATCCACCCAACTGTAAGGACACACAGACACAGTTGTAAATTTTGTTACCATTACTCGTCGTCCGGACCCCTCCAAGTCCCCACCGCCACCGCACGCACGGAGGAGAAACCTCTCTACTTTTCTGCTGAACTGCACTGACCACTCTCCACTCGCACCGCCGGCACACTAGTAATTTTTTCTTTTTCCTTAACTTGCATTGATTTTGAGTCTCGATTGTTTTGTTGGATCGATGCATATTTCTTCTCCTTTTACTGCAATGATGTTGATGTAGTTTGCGATTAAGTAATCTATTACATTTCGAGCATGTGGTTGATGCGCCGATGTATTTCCGTACTGATTCCGTCGGAACCGCCGCCGTGCCATTTTTCTCCTGCCATCTTTATGTTAATTTGTACGCTCCTTGACTTTTTGTATTCTAATTTAAGCGTTGACGGTATAAGTGGCGGAAAAGGATGGAGTCTATCATATATGCTACCAAATCGCCGTCGGCCTCTGGCCTCTGCGGTCCTAGGCTCTTGCGAAGGACGGGTGATTTGCGGAAACACAGTTTTGCGGTTGCGAGCTGCGATCTTCGAGTGAATAAGGGGAATAATTGTTTGGGATTTAGCATCGGCTCCCGTTCAATGAGAGCTACGGGTCGGGCTCGAAGTATGTCTGGATCGTTGGCGATGGCGAGAACAGTCAGGGCTCAAGCTTATGGTCGGTATTCTATCGAATAATTTCTATTTTTCGTTTTGCCTGAAGCTTTATATCATTCACTGTTTGTATTGAGCAGCTGTGACTGCTGACATTATAGCCCATGGGAGCTTCAAAATTTCCTTTTAGTTATTGTCAATGAACACGCCGCGTGCGCTTGCCCCCGCACACAGATTTTACTTTGGTAGATTATGGAGTGGGTGATTTCAATGTGCGCTAAAGAGCAGGGATTGTGGGCAAGATATTGCAAGTGATTCCTAAAAATTAGCAACCAGTTAGTCAGACTATTGTTTATTGCATTCTTGGATTTTGTCTTTTGGTGTGTTTACGTCCTCTGTGTCCCTGGCTGCATGATGCAAGTGTGAATCTGTTGTTCTCTTACTAAATTACTGCAAGTGCCATAAATAAAGTTTCTCTTGTAAAGTTGGTTGAAGGTTCTTCTAGTGTTAACCTTATGGTTCTATATTGCAATTTAAGTGTTAGCTTTACTGTTAAGCCGAACATGCACTATGCAAGCTTGAAATGACAATATCTGTTTATACTTTGGGCAACAGAAGGAGATGTTGAAGACATTGCACCCAACAAAATTCAAGTGAAATCATCTGCATCAGTTCTTCCATATGTTGGAGTTGCTTGTCTAGGAGCAATTCTATTTGGGTATCATCTGGGGTAGGCATTTTATTTGTCTTCTTTTCATGTTTATAAGATTCTTTATGGAATAGTTTTTCCTTGATATTCATGTTTAGCTGGCCTTTTGGGAAGTCTGAAGCTTGTTCATTAATGTTTATTTTGCTTGTGTTGTTCAGGGTGGTTAACGGAGCTCTAGAGTACCTTGCTAAGGATCTTGGGATAGCTGAAAACACTGTGCTGCAAGGTAACTTGTGATTGAACTCCAAGATGCAACCTTAGGTTCCGTCTGGTTTATAAAGGAAGTGGAGTTGCTGGAGTATTCTGCACTAGACAAAAAAAAAAAAAAAAACGAAAAGAAAAGCACACTATTGATCATAAATTAGTGATTTCTGAGTTGTAAACTTATGAAACAGATCTCGCAAAAACAATCATATAATCTCTCTTAAGCTTGATTAATCATCTTCTTTTGTTTACTCAGTATAATTTTATGTTCTTTCCTTGTGCTTATAAAGACCATTCTATTCGAACAATAATGCGGAGATCCTTTTCTCCCCCATTCTACTTATTCCTTTAAACTTCATTATTCTGTAAAGGGATTACATTTGTACTACATTTAATATATTTCCTCCTTGAAAACCCAATTTTCTTAACATGCATTGTCCAATTCATTTTATGCATAGGGTGGGTGGTTAGCACACTTCTTGCTGGCGCCACTGTTGGTTCATTTACTGGGGGTTCCTTGGCTGATCAATTTGGGCGAACAAAGACTTTTATATTGGATGCAATTCCTCTGGCAGTTGGAACATTTCTTTGGTACATACTCTGATATAACCATGTGGTTCTCTTCAATAAAATTGGGAAAGCTGCTCTAAGCTGCTTCATTTACAGTGCAACAGCTCAAAGTGTACAGACTATGATAATTGGCCGATTACTTGCTGGCATTGGAATTGGTATATCTTCTGCTATTGTGCCACTTTACATATCCGAGGTACCTATTCAGCACTACTTATGTGTACTTTATTACTTGACAAATACTAACACTGTAACATGCCTCTCACCCCTGTAACATCAGATTTCACCAACAGAAATCCGTGGTACACTTGGATCAGTCAATCAACTATTCATATGTGTTGGGATCCTAGCAGCATTAGTTGCTGGTTTGCCTTTAGCTCAGAATCCTCTATGGTAATTTCTACCCGAACAATTTGTTATTAACATGATGTTAGTGCCAAATCCCCTTTTGGAGTCTTTGTAAAATTAAATAAAGGTCTGTACAGAAATCTGGTGTTCATCTGTGAGTAAAATATGGCAAAGTCACATGAATCAGTAACTAACATGTGTGATAAATTTACCATTTTGGTTCGCATGAAGATAACACATCAGTTTCTTGTCTGGTGAGGTTGACATGTATAAATGGCAGTCATTCCAACATCTTTTTCTTTGTTTTTGGAAATTGCTTGTGGGTTCGTGGTTTATGCTATTTTACAACTGATCTTTTGGTAAATTAAATTTATTGATGACGCCCTTCTATATGATATATATATATATATATTTCCTTTTCTTGTAAATTTTGGATGACACTTTAATGGCAATTTTTATGTTCAGGTTGTTTTTTTTTTTTTTTTTTGTAAAAAAGGACCTGCACATGCTATGGATTTACTTTGTATGACACTCTCCCAACAATTTCCAGCAAAAAGTTACAGTATGATTTTCCTGCGGATTATTGCAAACCTATAATGTAGAGTATACATGTTTGTGTGTTCATGTATCTCAACTTGGAATCAAGTAATCTCATACATGTCAGTGTCTGCAGTGCTTGGATCCTGAGTCTGGGGTCCACATATGCTATTATTGTTCATAAAAACTCGTCTAATATTTTTGTGACACAGAAATCCAACATCTAGAATATCCTTCAAACTGAAATAAAACTAGGGTTGCATCTATGTTGTTGCTGATTAGGTATACTTTTCATTATGTCGATAACTTAGAAACTTATAATTTTATATAATTTCTTACTGTTGCAGTGCCAAAATTATTGACTTTTTAAATACAGTATGTTTTGATTAGCAGTTTCATTTATCTGCAAATATCTCGATAATATTTTTTACTTTTTTATTTTTTAAATTCAGGTGGAGGACAATGTTTGGCATTGCAGTTATTCCATCTGTTTTGCTAGCACTTGGAATGGCATTTTCTCCTGAAAGCCCACGTTGGCTTTATCAGGTTTGTTGTCAACCTACTTTGCTGCTGCTCCAAATTCACTATGCTTATTTCCCTTTGCTTAAAATGTAATATGCATGTAGGGTGACTTTTCTTTGTCATAATTGATAAGCTTCACATTGCATTTTCAGCAAGGGAGAATTTCTGATGCTGAACTATCAGTTAAAAGGCTATATGGAAAAGAAAAAGTTGCAGAGGTTATGGATGATTTGAATGCAGCAAGCCAAGGTTCTTCTGAACCTGAAGCTGGATGGTTTGATCTTTTCAGCAGCCGCTACTGGAAAGGTATATCTTGTGTTACTCAAGTCCTTTTTCTGGCCTCATATGACTTGATATATATATATATATTAATATGTGCATATATTATCAAAGTATGCTTATGAGGAACAAGTGTGAATGCATTTGATTTCATTCATCTCAAAGTTGTGATTCCTCCTTTATTGGGTTCTTGAGAACCTGGACTGCCTAATTTTATTTCAAAAGCCTCTTGTATAAAATCATATCTAACCTGAGCATTACTAATTATCAATTATAATATATAATTGACTGAAGCAATTCTTAAACTCACAAGTTCAAACTGTTGTGCTGCATATTTTGGCTGCCTGAAGTTAGCATTCCATATTGTTTTGCAGTGGTAAGCGTAGGTGCAGCCCTCTTTTTATTCCAGCAGTTTGCTGGGATAAATGCTGTTGTATACTATTCCACTTCGGTCTTCCGTAGTGCTGGAATTACATCTGATGTTGCTGCCAGTGCTCTGGTTGGGGCTGCAAATGTTTTTGGTCAGTTTTATTTCTGAAGGTTATAAGAAAATGCTGGCTTCAATTGGTCATTCAAGTGTTTTCCCTTATCTCTTTAAGGCACAACTGTTGCATCCTCACTGATGGATAGGCAAGGACGGAAAAGCCTTTTGCTGACAAGCTTTGCTGGGATGGTACTGTTTAATCTACCAGTTTCGAAAATTCCATCGAACTTATTTGATATGCTTTCGCTTACAGTACACATATTACAATGATTTCTTCAGTCAGTAGATTTATCATGGGGTTTCGTCTACTTAATGCTCCTAGTTTCTACTTTAGCTAAAATAGTTATTCTTGTTATCTATCTTCTGCATTTAATCATGTCGTTCTATCTTAGAAATCTAAATAGATTTTAACCTAGTTCATAGTGCAAGCCAAGTTATAGTGTGAAACCCTTAACATCTCCTTACTTTTAACCTCCACCTACCCAATTTTTTGCTATTGGTTGAGATTATGACTTAAAACTCTGAATGTGTACATACATTATTATGTTTTTATTGTTTCGTTGATTCTTGTGTATATGTTTTCCTTCTTTTCTATTGATGGCTTAATTTTCTCTGCGAAGGCTGCTTCAATGTTGCTACTTTCATTAACTTTCACATGGAAGGCCCTGGCACCATACTCAGGCACACTTGCTGTTGTTGGAACTGTTCTGTAAGTGTTGATTGTTGGCATCTCTCCAGTATCAGCAAAGCGATAAGCTTTTCTAATGCTGAATTACACTTATGTTTCCTTTTGCAGTTATGTATTATCCTTTTCTCTTGGTGCTGGCCCAGTGCCTGCTCTTCTACTTCCCGAGATTTTTGCATCTAGAGTTAGAGCTAAAGCAGTTGCATTGTCGTTGGGCACTCATTGGGTAAGCAAAGCTTTTACATATTTTGGCCCTTTAAAATTATTGCAGCGTTGAATTATTTCATATTATGGCCTTTGAGGACATAATACAAAAAAATAGAAAAGGTTCAAAAAAGTAAAAGTCCCAAGGATTTCATAATAGGAAAAATTACATGCTAATATGTACCATTATTGGGTGTCTTTGCATGAATGAAAATTGAAGACTTACTGGTTTGAATTGTCACATTCTAGTTGCTAATGCGGTGTAGGGCGGCCATGGCAATTACTTCTTTACTGTGTAGATATATAACGGGTCAATTGTAGTCAATTTTAGTATTTTAAATCAGTTGAGTTTATCTTAACAAGAAGTTTCTCAAGTGGTTGAATGCTATCTGTTATCTATTCCAACCTATTTTTTCTGGCTTGCACAGATATCAAACTTTGTGATTGGCCTCTATTTCTTGAGTGTTGTAACTAAGTTCGGGATCAGTACTGTCTACCTGGGATTCGCATCTGTTTGCGCTCTAGCAGTTGTGTACATAGCAGGCAATGTTGTTGAAACAAAGGGGAGATCCTTGGAGGAGATAGAACGAGCATTGAGCTCAGCATCATGAAGTCTGAAGGACATAATTTTGGCATCATGTTAGAATAATCCACACAACGGCCATCCTTCCAGTCAGGTATAACTTTATAGCTTTGCTGAGCCTCCCTCTCTCTCTTTCTGCATGGCACACCATCTTGAGGTGCATTGGTACAGTTTGATGCATGTTAGATTCTGTCTTGAACTTGGACTGACTTTTCAAATGATATTTAATCTTGCAAATAAGATGATCTTATTTTATGTTCTGTATGTGTGCACCTTATCTGAACATGTTTTCAACATGTCTTGGGCTTTCTTTTCCGATATTGTTAGAGATGGCAATGGGTCGGGTATAAACCCAAGACCCTACCCATATGTATATCACTGGATTCAAGATCTATTCAGACCCTAATGTACCCAGATCCAAGATCTATTCATACCTTAATGTACCCAGATCCATATGTACCTGGATCCTATCGGGATGTTCCTGTCAACCTGCCAAATTAAAAAAAATTCGAGCTTGACTCGACCAACTTATCTAAAATTTTTTTTATTTATTAAAAAAATAAATTAAAAATATATATAAAACAAATATAAATCTTCACCAATATTGTCTTGACCCGACCAACCAGAAAAAATTTATTAAAGATCCGACTTATATCCGACCCAATATCCAAATGATTCCAAATAAATGGATAGGTCCGGGTGAGATATCGGTCTACCTCTATCCATTGCCATCTCTAGATATTCTTAGGGTTTTGATCCATTTTAGAATTTCACCGTTCAACACAAAATTTGATTCGAAACAATCAGTGCTATAATCTCAGTCTTTGTACACCTATTTCCCATAACTAAACACTCTCAAAAAATAACTAAACAAATTAGGCCTTAAAAAAGAAAATAACCACATGGAACATAAAGTTTGATGCCTAAAGGCACAAACGCTGATCAAACTAATCCAAACTGGCTGTAATAGCTAAGCCATGGATTGCCTCAACATCATCTCCCATGGTGACCATAAGATCCAACTTGACAACATTGCTATGTGATTCAATACCTTTATGGTGTTTCCAGAGCAATCTACCGTGACTTACTGTAGATTGCTCTGGAAACACAGATTGCTCTGGAAACACCATAAAGGTATTGAATCACATACCAATGTTGTCAAGTTGCTAAAGAGGACACATCCCAACGGTTAATCTCAAGTCTCACAGCCATGGTTCCCCCTCCAAATGCCAGAACTCACAGCATGCCATCAATGCTGGTATATACCATCACATATTAGACTTCCGTTCCCAGCGTTCCTTGGTGTCAAGCCTGGAAAATTTTCAAGAAAGTGTTAATACTCAGAACACCACAGCTGCCAATAAAGTTGCTAGTCTCCCTCTAATGTTAGAAAATAGAGATTGTCTCAGTTTTCTTATTTGACTTCATTTCTTAGTGTAGACATTATGGTGTAGTGAAATAGATCATTATTGTAACTAAAGTTGGAATATACAATACCCCCAATACAACTTTTGGCGCCTTCTTGCTGTAGCTAGATCGCCATTGTCTTCTTGTCCTTCCATGAATGAGGAATGATCCTTCACTCTTTTTTCCAACACTGAATGATCGCCATTGCCAGGATCCCCTGAGGATTCACTTGGTTCTTGGTCATTAACACTCTCACCTTCCATGGTATTTTTCTGCAACTTGCTTTTCCCGTCATCTAATCCTCCATAGTTACAACAATGTCAACAGCAATCATTAAAATAAAAAATAAAATAAAGCGAGGCACATATATGATCAATTGACACACCTTTGGCCCTTTTGTGTGCTTTGGATTTGGCTTTGATTTGTAAGCGTCTTTTGTGCAATTCCTAAAAAAATTCAAACAGAATAAGCTGCTACAGAGGATTCTTCCTGAAACGCCAACTAAATTGAATTGATGAACAACCAATTTCGAGAACATAGTAAACGAGGGAGCTAAACAGCTGAACTCAAATTCAGATCAAGGCTAATCTCATATGTATAAAGTGGCAGGATTCGAATAGGTTTTTGAAACTAATTTAATTCATAGCACCTCTGTTTCTCATCTACAACTTTTTCTAACTAACCAAAGCCACAGCCGATAGTGAATGCCCCCGCTGTTTCACACCACCAATTTCCTCCCCCAAATCCTGTTGTGTTAGGGTTTATGTTGAATTGTGGAACTCACCTGAAATTTAGAGAGTTGCGCCTCTGATAAACCACGTCTCGGCTTGAAATTGGGACGTAAAGAAGCCGCGGACGCGATCGCTGATTCTCTTCTTCGATCCGCCGCATCCTCTTCGATTCCTCTCTCCATTGCCTCCATAATTTCGACCTTCTTTCTTTTAACGTTCAGAAATAAAAATAAAATAAAATTAAAACTAATATATATAGCTACCGTTAATTGCAGTTTGGTTAGACCTATTTAATTTGGGCCGGACCACTTTTGAAGGATTCTTAATGGACCATATTTTCTACTGTATACACTTTACATTGATATATATATATTTTTTAAATAAATGACACTACTAATTTTAAATAAATTTGTTTTTATGTAAGGTATAAAAAAATATGTAGAGAATATAAAAATAATAAATATGTGTAGTGTATTAATTTTTTTGGAAAAATGTACAGGAAAGTATGAAAGAACAATTATTATATATATTTTCTTCGTCTCAATACAATAGAGATATTTGAGATTGATACTAAAATTAAGAAATAATAATATTATATTGATAATGAGTGTAAAAATATTTTTAAAAGATAAAAATACTCTTATTTTATCTGATTATTGTGAAAAAAATAGTGATAATTTTGTAAAAAAATAAAAAATTTGTTATAAAAAATGAAAATAAATTATTGTTTTGACCATACAAAAATGACAAAATAGAACTATAATTTTGAAACGAATAGAGTATATATATATATTTTTAGAATTTTGAAAATTCTCAAAAATCTTTATCAAAATAAAGCCTAGAAAATTGGTCCAACAGCTTGTCAATGAACGCGTATTAGTCTACATCGATGAAATAGTATTGTTAATGTCTTATTAATATAGCTAACCCTATATTGTTCCCTGTCTAATAATCTTATTTTAAGGGTTTTTTTTGGATTTTGATCAAAAAAGATTTGGTTTAAAATTTATATTAAAATAATATTTAATTTAATATTTTGTAAAAAATATATATTTATATATTTATAAAAAACCCACAAAATTCATGTAGTAAAAAACCAGCCGATAATAGACTGGAAAGTAAGTTCGACAAGGCGGGAGGACATACCGAGTTGACTTTTATTTTGTATAAGGTTCTTTCATCGTACTCAAAACAATTTCCAAGTCCTAGATTTCGAGGTCAACTCCAAAACCAGGACAGGGCCATCATATTACTCTCTCTCTTTCTCCAAAATCATGATTTGACTTTTAATTCTCTACAACTGTTCTTCTCAAGCAAAGTAGTGAGGACAAATGAAGACAGTGATGTATATATATATATATATACATACAGCAGCTAGCTAGCACATGCAAAACCCCAAAACTTACGTTTGAAGTCTTTGAGTCTTGATCAAACAGTTTTAGAGAGAGAGAGAGAGAGAGAGTGTGTGTATAATGGCAACGTTAATTTGTCTAATAGCATCTGAGAAGACCTCCTCTATCGTTCAATCCACCCATCCATAATCAACCAATAACCTTAATTCTTCCTAGTACTCGATCGGGACGATGATCTTTAAGGTTTCAAAACCACGTCTCCTCCGATTATTACACCTGTTTCTGCTGCTCGTCGGCGTCTCCGCCGGCGTCGTCGCCACCTTCGTCCTCACAACCTTCTCCTTCCCCATCCAGATCTTCTTCTTCTCCCAGCACCTCCCTCCTCCATCAAATCACAGCCTCCTCACTTCTAATTGGACTTCCAACCCCAATCAGATCAATCAGACATCATCAATGGATTCCATCTTGATGCACGACATGCCCGACGATGTGTTGCTTACCGTGGCTTCCAAAGTAGTTAACAATAATTCAAACCCTAAAATCGCCTTCATGTTCCTCACTCCTGGCCCATTGCCCCTCTCCCCTTTCTGGGAGAGCTTCTTCCATGGCCACCATGGCTACTACTCCATCTACGTCCACCCCCACCCCTCCTTCAATTACTCCTTCCCTCCTTCCTCCCCCTTCCATGCCCGCCGCATCCCCACCCAGGTCTCTCTCTCTCTCTCTCTCTCTCTCTCTCTAATTTATCAAATCAAATCAATTTTGTATCTATATATATGTATATATGTATGTGCAGGCGGTGCAATGGGGCACGATATCGATGATCGACGCCGAGAGGAGGCTACTGGCCAACGCCCTGCTCGACCCATCGAACCGGCGGTTCGTGCTCCTCTCCGACTCGTGCATCCCGGTTTTCAATTTCACGACGGTCTACGGCTACCTCATGGGAACCAACCGGAGCTTCGTCGGATCCTTCGACGACCCGAGGAAATCAGGCCGTGGCCGCTACAACAACCAGATGTCGCCGGCGATCTCTATCGACCAGTGGCGGAAGGGCTCCCAGTGGTTCGAGGTCCACCGCGACCTCGCCGTGAAGATCGTCGCCGACCGGAAGTACTACGACCTCTTCCGCCAGCTCTGCCTCCCGCCTTGCTACAGCGACGAGCACTACCTGCCGACGCTGCTCAATGTCCTCTTTCCGGCGATGAACTCTAACCGGAGCGTCACGTGGGTCGACTGGTCGCGGGGCGGGCCCCACCCGAAAAAGTTCGGGTGGATCGATGTCAATGGTGAGCTGCTGAATTGGATCCGGGTCGGGTCTGAATGTGAATACAATGGGGAAAAGACCAATTTGTGCTTCCTTTTCGCTAGGAAGTTCTGGCCGAGTGCTATTCGGCCGTTGATGAAAATTGGACCGTCGATTCTAGGGTTTACCCCTTGATTTTTAGATTTATGAAGCAATTATTTTATTTTAATTCTTTATCAAATACTATCAGTTTAATTATGTGTCGAGTATATTCTAATTCTAACACATTTGTTACATCACGAAGAAAATTATATTCAATATATTTGTAATACAAATTAATAGAGTATAATCTTTTTAAAAGAAGATAATTCGGACTATATTCACTACAATTTGGACTTTTATTTATTTTATTTGTATGTAGATATTTAAAAATAATAGTAGCATTTTAATATAAAAATAAATATGTAAAAAATAAAATTAAAATATTATGATAAATTTACTAAAAGTTTTGATAAAAAAATGAAATAAATAAAAAACAATATGTTACGCACAAAAATAATAATAATAATAAATAATTGCAGTGGGATTCTGGACGGGTCTGGATATAAGTTAAATGACCCAGAAGTCGGGTGCAATCGGACAGATGCAAGGATCGGGAAGGAAGAAAGGTCGGGCGGAGTCTGAAAAAAGGTGTACCCAAGTCGGGTAAACCGTAGATCGGGTGAAAGACGAAGTCGGGCAGACGCGAAGGTTTGTCAAGAGAAAGGTCGGGCAAGGAAGAGGTGCGGACAGATGCGGAGGTCTGTCCAGAGGACAGTCTGTCCTTCTAAAGAGATAAGGCAAATAGAGCCGGTCGGTTGGTCCGTGGTCGGGACCACATTTGGTTGGTCCGTGGTCGGACCAATTAAAGTCGGTCAAAGACGGAGGGCGGCTGATACGAAGTTCGGACCAAGTGAAGTCGGGCGAAGAAGAATGAGACGGACGATACGTGGTCGGGCAAGAGACCCGATGGCGGTCGCCTGGTTGGGGCGACCATTGAATCGTATGGGGAAATCAGATGTTGGTCGCTTGATGGGGCGACCAATAAATCGTTCGGTCCGGCGACCAGTTAGTCTCTGGATTGGTCGGGTAGCACTTAGGTCGGGCGAATGGCATTTCTGGGACGGTTTAAGGCGTGAGAGGTTTGGGGAGGTTGAAGGAAGTTGTAACACGTGTCAATTGAGGAGATTTTGATGGTCGGTTGACAACGGTTGCTGTAACCGACCAGACGGCGGTTCAAACCGTTTTCTTCAAAGGCTATTTAAGGATTCAGATTTATTCTGAAAAGGGATCTTCAATCAACTTCAACAAAACAAAGTCAGATTTGGGGATCACCACTTTAAATTTCAGTCTTTTATTTTCCAGTTTATTTTCTGTACCATACAGTGTTTAGAGATTCCTAATCTCAGGCACTAATTAATCAAGTTTAAGGATATTTTCTATATCTTTGAATTTTACTTTATTTTTGTTGAAAAATTACATCAACACAGTAATACATTGATTTTTTGTTAAAATATAAATTTAATACTATTTCAATCTGTCTTATTTTGTTTAGACACTGAGTTTTAAGTATTGTATAATTAATAAATAATTAAGAATTGTAGAAATACTTTTACTTCGCTATCAATATAATACTATTATTTCTTAATTCACGTGTTCATCGCTATGATTTTGGGACGAAGGAAATACTATATATTCCCTCGATCCAATTAGAAAATATACATATTTCTATTTTGGGACGTCCAATTACAAAGTAAACATTTCATAAATACCTCATTTTTTTTCAAATACCCCTATTTTACATCACATTATTACTTTCACGCTAAAAAATAATAACAAAAATGTCATTACATTATTGTTAATTGCCTATTATAATTAAAATACTATTATTTTTTAAACACCGCGTCAACAATTATTGTGTACTTTATGTGTAGATGGAGAGAACATCAATGTATACCTAAAATTAATGTAATTGTTTAAATTAGAGTTGGCAAAAACTGACCAGATACAAAATATTTGAGTTTGGGTCAAATATTTCAACCCGTTTATGTATACGGGTTGACACGAACCCGAAACGATAGTAAACGGGTCGGGTTAGGGTTGAGACTCTCAAATCTCAACTCGAACCCGATACGACAACCTGATTATAATATTTAATATTAATTAATATATTTATTGTATATGTGATTCAATTTTAAATCATTCAATCTAATTTGCGCTCAAACCAATAAAAACTAACATAACACGACAACATAACAAAAATTATCTAATTTGAATCAAGAAATTCGACTTAATAATGTATACTGGTCAACACGAGTCAACTCAAACTCGACACCATAATAAACGGGTCGGATTAGAATTGAATAATTTAACCCGTTTAAAAATATTCAACCGACATGAATCGATCCATTGTCAGCTCTAGTTTAAATAATAAAAAAAATTACTTTAATATTATAGATAAAATAAATTTTAATTTTAAAATTTATTATTTATTTCATTCAGGATAATATGTACGTAATATTATAAATATAAATATTTAAAATATTTAAATAAAATATTAATAAAAAATAATTATAAATTAAAAATATATAATTATATTAACAAAATATGAATAAACCACAATTAAAAAAAATAAAATCAACATTTTATGATTATTTTAATTTTACACTACAGCCATATAGAACCGTCAAGTCACAGCCAATTATTTTAACAAAAAGAAAGGAAGGCCTTAATTATTAGATTAAATTGAGTGGTCACATCAATCACAGCACTCATCTCCATCTGTATCTCCATCTGTATCTGAGTATCTCCGCCACCGTCAGATATTATTCTTTCGTCGATCTGTACACCGCATTCTTTGCCGGAGATTGCCAGCCCGTCGACGCCGGAACCCCGATTCCGACTGGCCGCGATGGACGATTACTTGAATCTGTTCGTGGAAGAATCATCATGGTACAACGACATCGTTCTCGGATCGACGCTGCCGGAAAAGTGGTGGGTCCAACTCCCTCACTTCTACCAAAGCTGGCTCCGGAACTACATCGGCGGCACCTTGCTCTATTTTATATCTGGTTTCTTATGGTGTTTTTACATTTACTTCTTGAAGCGCAACGTCTATGTCCCTAAAGGCATGTACCTTAAACTTTGCATTGCTTAATTTTTCTCCTTTCTTGCTGCCCGATTTCAATTTTCATATTGCATTCTGATGCGGATGTTGGATTTCACTCGTGCCGATTTTCTATTTCTATTCTTCGTTAGGCGTGCTTAGTTTGGAGAATAGTGCTATAGTTTCGCAATTCGACTCGACTTTGTGTCTGGTGTTTAGGTTTGCATTTCGCCGTTTTTGGTATATGGATCTTTAATTTTTGACATTACCTTTGCAATTGCATCCATTTTTATGTGAGAAGGGTTTAGATCCTCTGAATTCCTCAAATAATTTGTAAATCAAAAGTTACTTTATCAAAAACTGTAACAGGATTCGATCTGTTCATCAGATGCTCTGAGTTTTAGGTATAGTTTACATTTAAATTTGAACTGGTAGCTGGTTTGATTGCAGATGAGATTCCTTCGAACAAAGCCATGCTTTTGCAGATAGGAGTTGCCATGAAAGCAATGCCGTGGTACTGTGCTCTCCCATCGATCTCGGAATACATGGTTGAACAAGGATGGACTAAATGCTTTTCGAGGATAAGCGATGTTGGTTTGGCAGCTTACCTTTTATATCTGTGTATCTATCTTATAATTGTGGAGTTCGGAATTTACTGGATGCACAGGGAGTTACATGACATAAAGCCGCTCTATAAGTATCTTCATGTCACACACCACATCTACAACAAGCAGAATACTCTTTCTCCGTTTGCTGGTAATTTCTTCTTGTTTCTTGATGCCTTCTCTTTAAAGCAATGGCAATTGTTCGGTGTTTCTGATGGCGTGCATGGCATTACTTGATATTTTACTTTGACAAATACTTTTTTGGCTTGGTGGGATTGCATCTGCAGTGGATAGTTCCAATGAGGAAAACTAAAAATACGACTGATCTTGTTTGTTGATACGTTTTCTTGTTAAATCATTACACTTGTAAGTTGATGTTGAAGCCGACAATGAAAGTAAACTTTTTTTGTCTTCTCCCTCCCAACAGTTGCATTCCCAAATCTCGTTTCCCAACTGAATATTTGTCGCTTTTTGCACTTTCCTAATATATCGTTGGTGTTAAATGTTTTTGACCTTTGTTTCGAATAACTCCTTGAAGGTTTAGAAGTAGTCTTTCTTCATCAAAGCATGTGTTTAGTATAAAGATGATGGTAGAAATTGGACTTGGTTGTATATTTGCATTAATAAAATGCGCGAGCTATGTTTAAACAATAATGTAGTATATAGGAGTGAATCTTAGCATGCAAACATAATTGTGTTTGAATATTTGTGCCGATTTCTGAATAACTTGTCTGGAATATCGACAAAAGTCCTGATTTCTCATGGGGTTATCATTTTGTCGAGTACTTCAGGTTCAAAAAATAGGTTTATTGCTTGTGCCTCTTAATCCCAATTGCGATTTAGATTTCTAGATCCATCATTCAAGCCAGTCTATATTATTATGCACGGCATTTCGCTTACCATAACAAGCATTAAATTCTTTCCATTGATCATGTGCCTTTTAGCTCCAAATATCGTAAGCAACCTTGTCTAATTTGAGTTTTTTCCTTTTCAATTAGGTCTGGCTTTCCACCCACTGGACGGCATACTGCAGGCGCTGCCCCATGTCATAGTTCTCTTCATCGTGCCAATGCATTACACAACTCACGTTGCTCTATTGTTCATAGAGGCTGTATGGACTGCCAACATTCACGACTGCATACACGGCAAGATATGGCCTGTCATGGGTGCGGGTTACCATACCATTCATCACACCACATATCGTCATAATTATGGCCACTACACCGTGTGGATGGACTGGATGTTTGGAACTCTCCGTGATCCAATGGAAGACAAAGCCAAGAAGATGTAAACCGCGCTCATGGTTCGCAACTTTCCTCTCTCGTATGTGCTTCAGATGTATTTACATGTTGTCATGTTTCCAATCTTAAGTTTCTTCTAAAGAAAATTGAGTGCAAGAACAAACAGACAGGTTAGTTCTTTCCCCTCCCAAAGCACTTGGCTGTTATGAATTGGAATCAAATGCTATAATGCTTTTTAGATCCATTTTCTGTGTGTAAAGCTAAGGTCAGTTAGAACATTGCGTTGGCAGCCATTTTATCTGAAGATAAGTGCTTAACCATGGTATAATTATTGCTCATTTTTTTCTCAATTTTGGTGGATAATGTTGGATATGAAGAACGAGGAAAGATAGTATTTTGATGTAAAAGTAAAAGTTACAGGATTGTTAGAACTCATGATCTTAGGATTGTTATATATATAACATGGGAACTCTACCATTGCTATTCCTAGAATGCGCACTTGGTAAATTCTCGGAATCTGATAGCTTGCAAATAAAATTAAATCTTGCAAATAAAATTATAGCATAATGGAAATTTCATCCCATTTATGAATGAAAACCTAAAGTAGTGATATTAGAACTGCAATTTAATTAAATTAAAATCAAGAATTATGGAGGATATTAGATATACATATATATTATCAAAATTAGAAAGATTTTTTTTTTTTTTAATAAAAAAGTATTGTGAAAAAATATCCAAAAGCTTAATCTAACAAACTAACTTATATTTATATATTTTATTTATATTTTTATAATAAATTGTTTATACGATATAACTTTAATAATTTAAATCGTGCGGCACACTAATTATTTTTATAGATGAAAACAAAATAAATTCATAAACGTACACGTTTAAAAAGAAGTGCGATATCATTGGAAACAATGCGACTTTCAGACGGCGCACTGACGCCGTTAGTTTTCCTTTACTTCAATTATTTTCTATATTATTCTTTTTTGCGTAGAATAGAAAATATCTGCGGAATCAGAATCAGATAAATTGCGCTTCTGCAATCTCCTATCTCCGACTCCGACTCACGCCGCCGCCGGGCGCGAAATTCGGTAATTCCGCCGCCGCAGCCTTGCAGCGCTGCTTTGTTTCTGCTACGGGGGGAAAATAACGATATCATCTACGTCTTTGGTAGTTATTGTTTGTATAGTTAGTAGCCAATGTCTACTTCTCCTTTTCTTTCTTATTTGTCTCTTGCCATTTCTCCTTTTCCTGCCAATTCGAAAAAAAATCAATTCCATTTCATCTCCTTAAGTCCTTCCAATTTTAGTTTGATATCGTGTTCTAGCGTTTCTGCTAGTGGCAGTAATGGCGCAGACAGTCGAACTGTTGAATTCGACAGCCAAGATGTTTATACAAAACCCTCACAGCCGAATCCACATTCAAGTTCCAGAATTAAGGCCCCCACCGCCCCATGGATGAATGAACCACTGCTTGTTAAGCCGAATGAGGTTGTAGATTTTTCGAGAAGGAGAAAGAAAAAGGATTTCACCACTAACAAAAATCACAGTTCTCCAGATGTGGCATTGACGGGAAAAGTGGGAGGTGGCAGAGGCAGGATAGCAATGAAGCAAATCTTGAAAGGCATTGAGAAACTTCAAGGAACTCTTAATTCCGAAGAAATCGGAGAAACGCAAGAGAGTGCTAACTTCAAATTCGCGCCAGGAGATCTCTGTGGAAATGCCGATTATAACCGCCGTACGAAACTTGATGAAATTTCTGAAGAAGCGCAGGATGATTTGGAGAGAAGTGAATTTAATATTCCTTTTACGGAGATTAAGAGTGAAGGGGGAATTACACAATGGCCATGGAAAAGGAATGAAAAGATGGTGATTCCGAGGGTGAGACCAGAGAAAGTAGTGACAGCTGCTGAGTTGAGTCTAGATGGAGTCCTGCTTGACAGATTGAAGGGTGAGGCTGCAACGATAAAGAAGTGGGTAAAGGTTAAGAAAGCTGGGGTAACTCAAGCTGTTGTTGATCAAGTTCGTTTTATTTGGAGGAATGATGAGCTTGCCTTGATTAATTTTGATGTTCCCTTGTGCCGCAATATGAGAAGAGCTCGAGAAATAGTTGAGGTCTGGTTTTTATTAACCTGTCGTGCAATATCAAATATAAAAAAGATTACATTAATTTGTATCTTCTATATGTTGGATTTGATTTCCTATAATTTTGAAATCGGCATTGCTTTGCTTTGATGCTTGACGAAATCCATGTGAGGGTTATTGTTAGTTTCAGGTCCCATTTTAATGTGAAAATAGCTTGTATGAAGTTTGATGGAGAAGTAGAATGGATAGTGTCATACATTTTCATTGGAGTTCTTGTTGAATCATTCGCCAGATATCGAACATTCCAAATAGAATGATCCAACTTTACGCGACAAGATATTCAGCTACTAATCTGATAGATTGAAAAAGTATTATCCAATGACTTTATGCTTTCTCTTGGGATACAAAGAACTATTATTTGGTCTTTTTTTTTTCCCTATCTGGCTAATGGTTTCTTTTGTATAGTCCCCTCTGTACATGTCATGCTTTAATTTGCACTGTCTCTCTGCCTTTAATGAAGTTTCCTTATCATTTTCCTGAAAAAAAAAAGGTTGATAAGAACATTAAAGTATGCATTCTTAGTTGGCATCAACCTTGAGCTGTCCTATTTGATGTCCTTCCTGTAAAATATTTTGGGCACTGAACATACTTTTATGTTTCTAAGCAGATGAAGACCGGAGGGGTTGTTGTTTGGAGAAACAAAGATTTTCTTGCAGTTTATAGAGGATGTAATTATCAGGCAGGTGTAAATCATGCCAGTATTATTGACCGGAACTGTATTGATAATAAGAAGAGTGCTTACTCCCCTATGAATTTCCAAAATGCTACAAATGTTACCAGGGAAGGTTCTGTTGACGGTAGTCTAGATGAAATGGCTGATGGAAAATATTGTCTTTCGGAAAGACTGCACACTGTATCACTATATGAAAGGGAAGCTGATAGGTTGTTGGATGGGCTAGGCCCTCGTTTTGTTGATTGGTGGATGTCAAAGCCTTTGCCTGTTGATGCCGATTTACTTCCAGAAACTGTTCCTGGGTTCAAGACACCTTTTAGGCTATGCCCACCTTCTACTAGATCAAAACTGACGGATGCCGAGCTTACATATTTGAGAAAGCTTGCTCATCCTTTACCAACACATTTTGTTCTTGGTATGTTTGCATTTTTAATATCATGTTTTCTTGTCGGGAAAAATTGCTAGCTTTTCAATGTTGTATTTAGTTCTGACTGACTTGTGTTTTGAGTTTCTGAAGGAAGAAATTGGAAGCTACAAGGATTGGCTGCAGCCATTATTAAAATGTGGGAGAAGTGTCATATAGCAAAGATTGCTTTGAAATGGGGGATTCCGAATACAGACAATGAGTCAATGGCATATGAGCTTAAGGCATGTCAGATACAAATTTGATGAGATTTTCTTTATTTGTGATTGTCCCTTTATTGTTAGAACTGTGGCTTTTATGTGACCACTGAGTCCACTAACGTGTGTGAATCTCTTGCTAACTTCATGTGTTTCTATATATAACCTGTCTTTTCTATAGGGGCTTATAACTGTAGGCGAGATTTTCACTTTTTTCTCCGAAAAGAAATTGTTAGTACTTCTTAGTTTGCTAATTTACTAAATGGAAGTGTCATTGTGCTCTCTGCTGTTATATTTTCAATAACTTATTGCAATGAGATTTTTAATATAGCTTCATATCAAGCTGATTATGGGTTAGACTGTAGGTTTTAGTTTTCGTGTAAATTAGTTTGTACAATATCTGGCTTACCTGATTTCATAAGCATGTGGTTGTGCTGAAACAAGCATGGATTGGTTGTAATGTTGAATTGAGCATTCTTGTTTCTTTTTTACAAGGAAAGTGATGAATGTCTGCATCTTTTTTGCTTCTACAGAAGCTTACTGGTGGAGTTCTTTTATTGCGAAACAAGTACTTGATAATTCTCTATCGAGGCAAGGACTTCCTTCCCTCTGAAGTCGCAAAAGTTGTAGCTGAACGAGAGATAGAGCTGACAAGATGCCAGCTCCAAGAAGAAGCTGCACGACTAAAAGCAAGCAAAGCCTTTCCTATAAGTGATGAACACACACTAAACCCTGGAATCGTTGGTACTTTGTCAGAATTCCGTAGTGTTATTTCTGAAAGCCGGAATTTGGACAAAGGGAAGACTGAGGCTGAAGTTGGAGTCCAGGCAGAAAAGGAAAGATTAGAAAAGGAACTCAAAGTTCATCAGCGAAGGCTTTCTTTTGTAAGACTTGATTTTAGATTGCCTTTTGATGTCACAAGATCGGTATAACCTATCTGTTGCCTTGCAGCTGAAGAAGAAGATGCGAAAATCAGCTAAAATCTTAGAGAAACTTAAAAATTCGACAAAATCCTCTGATAAAGATCCAGATCCAGAAATAATCTCGGATGAGGAGAGGGCCTGCATGCGGCAGATGGGCTTAAAGATCGATAGCAGCTTAGTCCTTGGTAAGCTTACTATACAAAGGAACACTTAATGTTGTTTGTTTCTCGATTTCTTTTCTTTTACGCCATAATTAGTTTATCTAATTTCTATACACGCCTATCTTGTGATGCTTGATTCTTCTACGATAACTTTCTCTTGGCTTCAGGCCGACGTGGGATCTATGATGGTGTCATAGAAGGAATACATCAGCACTGGAAGCACAAGGAAATCGTTAAAGTGATTACAATGCAGAGAACCTTTTCACAGGTCATGTACACGGCAAGACGTCTCGAGACAGAAACTGGTGGGATCTTGGTTTCGGTTGTTAAACTTAAAGAAGGGCATGCTATAATCGTTTATCGTGGAAAAAACTACAAGCGCCCGAAGTTAGCAGCACCTAATTTGTTGAGTAAACGAGAGGCTTTATCTAGGTCACTCGAGATCCAAAGATTTGGAGTAAGTAAATTTTAGTTATCGATCATATATACATTTTGGTCATTTCTTTTCTTTGTTTCGACTTAAATGGATGTAAATTACGTTTCCTGTTCGGCAGTCGCTAAAGTTCTTCGCCAGCCAAAAAGAACAGGCAATCAGTGATCTGAAATGCAAACTGGTGTGCATACATACTACTACTTTCTAATCTCGACTGATACTAACTTCTATAGAAATTTAATTTCTTTATCTGCCCAAATTCTCAGGCCGAGCTTTTAAAGAAGATGAATTGACTGCAGAAGCCGATAAACAGCCTTTTCCACATAGATGCTGTAATTCTCTTTGGGTCGAATCTTTCACGGTGCTGAGTCATAACTGATAGCTTCCTCCCTCAAGGTATGCTTGTATGTATCGTGATTATATCACAAATTTCTCCACAATTACTCGATGATTGTAGTAATACTGTATAATGAACAAAGGCGGCATAATCTGGCTCGAAAAGCCAAAAACTTTTATTCTTCAACCAAAACTAATTGTGAAAACTTTGTTTGACAATAGCTGCAGGCGAAAACTTGATGCCGATCAATGCAATGGCAGGCAAACCATTCTATGCTTACGACCCGCCTGATCGAGCACAATTACAGCACTTGTTATCATCCCTCAACAAATTGACTGGAAACTTGCTTACCAGATGGATCTTGCAATAAATTTGCTGTGTGCAGTGGTCAGGTATGCTGAAACCTTTCTCACCAGATCATGCTATGTTTTTCATTTTCCTCCTGCAGTTGAATCGAATCGAATCCTCCGGTGGCGGCTCCGGAGACGATGAAGTGGGCAATGAAGTTGGACAGGTAAGATGTTTGGATCTAAGTGATCCTTTGAAAATTTGTTATATCTGTGTCACGTAAATATTTCACTAGCTCTTGTGTACGATTCTCATATTATAATTGTTGCTTATTTGGTTGAATTTTTAATCCCAAATTGTAAAAAATGTCTCTATGTATATTAACGCATGCGACATTACAATAGCTTGTGTGAAGTGAGGATTAATTTTGCACATATTTGATAATTAAATTAACACTCTACAAAGAATTAATAGTGAAGAAGATAATTATTGAATGCCAAGGAAATAAAGGAATGTAGAAAGATGCATTAGAGAGATTGGACAATTCAAAGTGGGGACAGAATAGAATAGTATGGTCACGTCACGTTCTTAGAGTTGTAGGTCATATTTTAATGAAATTACCATAAAATATGCCCTAATTTACGACCACATTGCAACAGACATCTTTTCATGATAACTGGTCCTGTCCTGAGCTAACCCACAATTTTTACATATCTGGAAAAAAAAAATCAATGCTAAAATCATTTAATTATGTACGGCACCTAAATAAAGAAAGATGTGTTGCTTGGCTTGTAGGTTAAAGAAACATATATATGATCGGACGGCTGGGAATTCACGATGATGTCGAAAAGTGATTATAATAATAATATACACTGGGGAAAAGAATAAAATAAAAGAAAGCAAGTGTCATAATTGTTCTTGCTTGTGTCTGCAGCATCTACAGAAACCATTTTGGATTTTATTTATTAGAAAAAGAAATATATTTTGCAATGGAAGTGTCACTTTAATTTTGTCTTATGCTCAGCAAATGACAAAATGTACAGTATTTATGTGGTTGTTGTATATCTTGTAGATTTTTATAAAATGGTGAATGATTAGGGGGAAATTAAAAAGTGTACTAAATTTATGATTAAAGAGAATATATATATATAAATATAAATATTGACATGTGAATCAATTCTAAGTATCCGTACAGAAGATTGATATGGTTAAAAGCAGTTACTCCGGTATGCCGACGAGGACAGGGCGAAAAGCTCGTCGGAGTAGGCGCTGGCGAAGCGTAGCCGACAGCGGCCGGAGAGGGCGGGGGACGCCTCTCTGGAAGTCGCCGCCGCTCGGCGACGGTGGCAATCCTCCTCTCACATTTTCGGAGAGCTGCTCCCCCATCGCCGGAGGCGGCGACGAGACGAACAAATCCTTGAGCTTATTGCTAACGAGAAGCTCCTTTCCATTCTCCGGCGAGCTCGCCTTCCGATCCGTGGGGCGTTGCGGCGAAGGCAGCTGCCTCCGGCCGCTGCCACCTCCGCCGCGAAAGAGCAGCATTCGGAGAGTCTTCCTCCGGCGGAGGTGGATTACCGGACTGGCGGAGGGGCTTCTGGTAGGGCTGGCGGCGACGGCGCACTGCGTGGCTAAGAGCTTGAATTTCTGCAGTGTTGCCATTGACGACGCTCAAATTAGGGTTTCGTGATTTGGGGATGGATGATAATGGAATAAAATTCGTTGGTTATTTATTGTGTGCGCGGAATTTGTGAAGCTAAAGGAAAGAAAAGGAAGAGAGGCGTGGGAGTGAGTGAGAGATAAAAAGGAATAATTCAGAATACTGAAGGCGGGTAAGTGGGCCTTTCGAGGCCTCCAATCATTTCCTTCCACGTGGCGCCACATGGGTCCTCCCCACTGGTCAGTCGCTCCTCTTTTCTCTCCTTTTTTTTTTTTTTTTTATATTTTTATATCACTATTTTATTTTTTCACTTTCTCAAAATTCACAATCTTTATTTTGCGAAGACTGAATAGGTGTAAGACTGGGAATGAATTTATCTTTTTTATTATTTTGCCGACAGCTACAGGACGCTTTTAATGAAATTACCAATTTTTACACAAATTATAAAAAAAAAAAAGAAGCAAAGATTTGATCCATACCTAGAATTTGTTGCATTTGAAATTTTGAAGAAAAGGGAATTATCTAAATGGGTATCTTTATTACCTTACAACAAGGTACAAATAATTCATTCATTACTCATTACAAACAAAAAAACGAGTCTAGTTACCATCAAAACCATAATTATACAGACAGAAAATTGGCATCAGATGGCTTTTGATCTCTACACTTCTACATGATTCATAAGAATTAGGGATTGCTCCGATGAGCATTCCCGTCTACGCCTCCGGCGGCGACGACGGCGCCGCGCTGCCGCGGAGCGGCCCCGTTTCGTCGCTATCGACTAATATTTCGACAGCTTCTGCTTTATTAGCATTCATGTCATCACTGTGAATCCCTTTCAGGGCATCAAGAACTTCATCCATGGAGGGCCTCATATCCCTGTCCGGCTGCAGGCACTGGAAGGCCAGCTCGGCAACGAGGGTGATCTTCCTCCGGACGATCGGATTCGTTTTGAATCCGAGGCTCGGATCGACCATCTCCTGCAACGCGTGGTTCTGGATTTTGTTGACAGCCATGTTCGCCAAGTTGATGTCGTGGCGATGCCTGCTGGTGTCGACAGCCATCAGCGACGAGATAAGCTCGATCAGAACCACTCCGAAGCTGTAGACGTCGCTCTTTTCGGTGAGATGGTAGCACTGGTAGTACTCGGGGTCGACGTACCCGGGAGTCCCCTGCGGAGCGGTCGATACGTGAGTGACGCCCGTCGGGAATAGCCTTGACAGCCCGAAATCCGCGACTTTGACGTGGAGGTTGTTGTCCAAAAGAATGTTGTTCGTCTTGACGTCGCGGTGGATTATCTTCGATCTGTGGAGATAGCCCAGAGCTTCCGCTGTTTCGACAGCGATGCTCAGACGAACCGGCCATGAAAGCCGGCTGGACTTCGTGTGGCTGCCGTGGAGGTGATCGGAAACTGTTCCATTTGGTATGTACTCGTAAACGAGCAGTAATTCCCGGCTTCTCTTCGAAGTGCATCCGTAGAGCGCCACCAGGTTCGGGTGTCGTAACTGCGTGAGGATCTCGACTTCGTTCATGAATTGCTCCAATCGCCGGTAGTTGTTCTCGTACAATCGTTTGACGGCAACGGTGCGACCGTCTGGCAACTCCCCTGTTCAACGATCGATAAATCAAACCGATAGAAGATGCAAGAACCTACAGCCATGGAACTATTGTTACCATAATAGACGACGCCAAATCCACCATCGCCGAGCTCTCTAGACGAGTTGAAATTATCGGTAGCTTGTTCAAGCTCAGCGTAGCTGAAAACCTGAACTCCAAAGTAAGATGAGCTGCCCCTGTCGAGGTCGGAGTTCGACGAGGGATAAGAAGGAATACTTCTGGTGAAATTACTCGAATTAGGCGTCGACAAAGGCGTGCTCGAAGGATGAGGAGTCGTAATGTCCTTAGCGACAGCCTGCGCTGCCAGCGGCTGCTTACGATCTTTCCGCCTCTGCTTGTAGTAAAAGATCAGCCATCCGAACACGGCGCCGGCAAGAACTGCACCAGCTATAGGAAGGCCTGCAAGAAACAAAAATTCAGTCAACAAATGATGCTGCAGCAGCCCTGCAAGTTCATCTAAAGATCGATTTCATCGACATACCAATGATCATCCCCGTGTTCTTCGACTTCTCCTTTCCTGGTACAACACAGATGTTAGTTTCTTCGCCATTGCAAAGAAAGATCACAAGGTAAATACATCCATTTATGATCATCATCATCTCCAATTATTCAGATTATACCATTTGGATTTGGATTTTCAATTTACCATCATTGCAGGTGGAGTCATGAGGTCCATCCCTGCAATGGCAAGCAAACTTCCCCGACGTCGGAATTTGGCCGCAGGCCCCGCCGGATTGCAGGCACCGGTCGCAGCCGCCGAGATCATCCACAGTCCAATGGATCCAAAACCCATCCTTTAAAGCATTCCGTAGAAGATCAACAGATGAAGATTTAGGAATTTCCAAACTCGAGGCCACAGATTGATTCACCCAAACAGTAATTCTATGTCCACATTGAATTCCACTTCCCAGCCCAGATACATCCGTAATCGGGTACTGGTAAAAGCTCCAAGTCCCCCAACAGAGGAATCGATTTAGAAAAGGATTTGGGGGACTCGTCGGACTACCGACGGTGCAGTGGTAGTAGAGAGAAACGTTCTCGGCATCAAAGGAGCTGGAGAATTCGAAAAGGGATGGATTCAAGGAATTGTTCAAGAACAGGGATGGACATGGAGAGTCCCAGAGGTCATCTCTTGCAAGACTGAGAGTTTTTGCAGAGGGATTATGGTCAAGAACACGGTAAGTTACAGAAGAGATGTTTATACGAAGAACATCGTCTTCGCAGGTCAGCTTGAAGTCACGGCGGCCGCAGTTCTCCGGCCGGTCGCCTCCCCAGAAGGGGTAGCTTATGTTTTCCATGGCGCCGCAGTGAAGTGGCTGCCTGCAGGTTTCATAGAGCTGATCTTCTTGACAGAAACAGACTGCAGGGATTCCTAGGACTAGCAGGATCTTGAGGATATTCATCTTTTCGTTCAGAGGGTTTCTCAGAAATGAAAGATGATCATGGAAGATGGTGGAGGACTTGGTGGAATTTTGACGAAATTCGCCATTAATGGTTTTTTCCTGGGAAGCTTCAGTGGGAATGGGATTTGGTGGACTATGACAGACACATCGAAAGGGATACATAGGAGGAAAGAGTCAAAGTCACCAGCCAATTCTAGAAGAAATTTGTGTGCAGACATGAAAGCCTACGCGTGATGAGATTATTTGAACGTAAGACTCCAAATCAGACAAAAAACATTAGCACATTTAAGGAAGCTACATCATCTAAACAGTGACTGAAATCTTCAGGTCAAGTTCTTGGCACGTTTGTTTCTCACAAGTCAATGGGAAGATAGTATTGGTTATTAGTCATCAGCCAAAATGTGGAAGCCCAACTCAAGCAACTACCGATCACAACTAAGGATTAGAATAAGACATCAGTAATAAGGATTTTGTCCATACCTGAGGATTGAGTTTTGTCTGGAGAAGCCCCGGAATCCATCGAACAGGTTGAGGAGATATACGGCGCAGCGAGGCAGAAGCAAGTTTCTTGATTGCTTTCAAGATTATATCCACATCGACCTTTCGAACCCAAACAATCAATGCAAGCTTTGCTACTAGTTTTATATCTAACTTCAAGGCCCTGCCGGAAGAATTGAGGATCTATTTCTTTTGAATCAAGAAATTTCCCACCTCCAAAACTTGCAGAAATAGGCACTGGAACTGTGACGCTAGTCTCACAATTTCCGGGCCCTCGAGTGCCTGAAGACACATAATCTGCAGCAGCATCACTATATCCAGATTTCCCACAAGAAATTGGTTTTGCATCAGATATGTTAGAATCAGGGCAGTTGAACAGAAATGTGATATTAGCATACGAAGAAGTGTAGTCAAACAGGGAGAAGTCTAGAGTGGTGTTAACCATTTCTTCGGGGCAATTCCCCACCATGAGATCCTCCCTAGCAATCTTCATACTCTGCTTGCTCTGATCAATCCCCAGAACACGAAAGGTCGTGTACATTATATCAATGGTGGTTTTGAACACAGAATTCTCCTCATCACAGGAGAGGGCGAAACCGGGATGGCCGCAATAGGCTGGCTCATTGGATCCATAGAAAGGGAATCCAATCCTGGGAATGGTTTGGCCACAGCTGAAGTTGTTGCTGCATGACCTGTAGAATTTGTCGCTGAAGCCAGAGCCTCGGCGGGGTTGGATTAGTAGGAGAATGATGGAGAGGAAATGGAGGTAGGAAAAGGATGATGACAGGGGCTGGGAATGGGAATCCATTAGAGGCTGGACTTGGGAGAGATCTCTCTCTCTATATCTATCTATCTATCTCTCTCTCACTCACACTCACAGATGATCCTAATTCTTAAGGATGTGATGATACACAAGCAACTGACTTAAAAGGGAATATATTGAGGCTGGATTTCAAAGAAGAAATTAATTAGTTTCAAGACACAATAGGAAAATGAGAGAGTGTGTGACAATGGCGTATGGAATGGAGTGAGAAAATGGGTGCCAACTTAATTGCAAAGAAGTAAGAGGAAAATTTGGTATCTTGACTTGATCAAAGAATTGAAGGGGTGGGTTTTCTGATTGCTGTTGTTGAACCTCTACCTATTCTTTCTTTCTTTCTACCTACCTACCTCAAGAAATCATATATAGATAGAGAGTTGAGGTGTGGCTTTATTACTTGAAGAACTAATTCAATGGATTACTATTATTGTTTATGTTGCGTGGCTGTCGGGCTAAAGAGTTGGTGTACACACCCAAAACTAAACATGTATACATACATGTGTAGTTTACTACCAGTGAGACTTGCAGACACGATGATATCATATCTATGTGTAATTGAACTGGGCCCTCAGTGGAAAGAAAATTAGAAAACCCCAAGTCACGATTATGTTATTTATTTATTTTCTTATGAGATCAATTATGAGATTATGATATCAGAGTCACTCCTTCTAACAACCGACGACAATGAATCTCACACGTCAGATTTAGCGTCACACCCCCTAAAAATATCTCAACCGTCAATTTATATAATGGTCTTCTATTTATATATTTAAAAAAATATGTATTTTTTTATTTAACATTTTCAACAATATAAAATATTTCATACAAGATAGTCAAGAAAAGAACAGTTTAACAACTTGTTGTACCTCGTGCATATTATATATGTGGTGTTATTTAATTATTACTATGTCTGTATTTGTAAAATAAGTGTTTTTTTTTAATATTTATATAATTTTCACCCTTAAAATAAATATAGGTTTAAAGGATAGTGCGGTGCGTACCCGATGCCGGCACCGTCGCCGTCGACGCTCGGGTGCTGAAATTTCCGGCAGGTCCCTCCGCTATAGCCGCGCAGACAAACCGCTTCCCCGCAGCATCATACGCACACCTCCCGCCGGAGCCCTCGCACTCACGGCAAGCTACGCTGTCCACCTTGAGCTTCACCTTGAATCCCTCCCCAATAGTTTCTCTCAAATCCCTAGAATTCAGAACCGACGCATAGCTCACCGGAACCACAACGCTTGTCCTGCACACTGCTCCCAAATTCAGCTTCGCCATCGCCTCCAATTCCACGTAACCGTTCCCCTCCGCGCAGTTGAATTGGAACGGCACCGGAAAATTCACCGCCGGACAGCCGTAGAGCATCGTTAAATTCAAGTAGCCAGGGGTTACGAGCTCGAAGAGCTCGTAATCCAAGCTCGAATTCAAATACCGCTGCGGACAGAGCGTTTGGGAGAGATCATTTCTAGCAATTTTGAGCACCTCCAATCCCCAATTTAGCTCCAACACGCGGTACTCGACGTTTTCGATCCGCATTTTGGCTGTGGCATTTTCACAAACAAGTTGTAGGCGCGGGTCGCCGCACTCTTGGGGGCGTTCGCCCCCCCAAAATGGATAACCGACGGCTTTGAGGTTCCCACAGTTGAATCGAGCTCCGCAACTTTTGTAGGGATCGGTTTGGCCGCCTAAGATCGGAGGAAGATCGGCGATTGACGGAATAACGACTGCTCCGGCAATCCAGAGTAGTATGAAACTCGGCTTCATAGTTCACATGGATCGAGGATTTCATTTCCTCTTCTACATATCTTGCGGTTACGATGTATGATTGCTGAAAAACTGATGGCAGTTGAGTGTTGTTAGTTAAAGATTGCTCATTAATGGGGCAGACGAGAATCCATTATTGTACGGTACACTGTACAGGGTGAATTGAATGGGTGATGGCTTCATTTTGAGCAGTTAAATTTCAACAATAAAAACACCGTTGACATTTTTTTAGTTGAAATTAAAAATAATAGTAATAAGTATGGTCTTTAATGTTGGCCAAATAAATAAAATAAAATAAAAAATCCTTCTGAGCCTCACATACGAAATTTTACTTTTAGTACTTCGATCTAACTATTTGAGTCCATCTTAAATATGTTATTTCAAGCTCAACTTAGACTTAGATTGGATAAAATTTATAAAGCAACATTTTGAAATAAAATACTTGAATAAATTTGGTTTTAACACGTAATTAGAGATTAAAAAAATATATATATATTGAAAATATTGTTGTACTGACTTTATCATATCAAAAAGCGATCGATTATATATATATATATATAAATTCATTTCATAATAATTAATTAGTTAGGCCACAACAATACACACACATACACATGCATGCTAACAGGTAATTAGCAGCTACCTTTATTCAAACAACGACTTTAGTTTATTACACGAATAAAACTAATTTATTAACGACACGTGGCAGTCCACTGTTATTCGATGCATATGTTGATCAATTCGATCGTGTCCGTCGATCTGATCTGATCAGCAGTTGGTGGGGACGGTTACGCGGCAGGCGGCGGCGAGACGCTGCGCCACCTCCGGAGTGAAGTACTGTTGGAGGTCCGGGTCATTCAGATACTCACAGAAACAGTGCTGACGCAGCCTCAGCCCATCGCAGCACGTTCTCGACGGCGGAAATCCAATTATCGCCGACGCACACGACGACAGCGCCTGAGGGTCGCATGACACCGGCGGTGTCTGCGCCGCCGCCGCCGCCACCACCGCCGCCAGAACCACCATTGTTATCACTACCTTCTTCATCATCATATTGGTTAATTAACTACTCTGCTGTACGTAATCTTACTAATTGGCGATGTCTTTGCGGGAAATTTTGAGGGTTATTTATAGGCTGTGTTTGGCCTTAGGTTTGCGGCGTCAAATATTTTATTTTATTTGCATTTTCATTTTTATTATTACTATTATTATTATTTCTTATAATATGATAACCCGCAACTGTTATCTAAAAATGTGTACTTGATAAACCTCCAGTCGAACTTAATACCTGCAAATTAAATCCGACAAAATAATTCACACTAGACGAACGCATATGTGTCACGTGACCTTATAAATAGTTACAAATTATGCTAATAAAAAAACTCACATTAGAAAAAACATGTATAGCCAGACAAAATAATCAATGTACTTTTACTTCTATTTTCTATTAATAAAAAATATTCATATATTAATACTAAAATATATTTTATTTTTACATAATTTATAAAAATACTATTTTATACATGAAATATAAAAGACAAACTTAGTTGAAATATTATAGCACTCTACTTGTTAATAAAATAATATTATTTTTAATTTATTAAAAAACATGCATATATATTTGGATAGGAAGAAGAAAATATTATTTTTTATTAATTTATTATAAAATTCTATTGAAAATTGGAGAACATGTTAACAATAACTTTTATTTAAAATGACAAATTAAAATAGTTATTTATATCATATAAAATTATTAAATATATATATATATATATCTAATTTAAATTTTTATTATTTTCAATTTGAAACCTAACTTGGCATCCAATAGATTGTGCCCACCCTATTTTGAATAATCGAAATCCACAATAATTCATCAAGACTATGGACGGTTGAGATTTTAGGCTACTGGTAAGAGGCTGCCAAATTTGGTTATTCCATAATTTATTATACGTTGTCAAGAAAATTTTTTCTAATCATTTCTCTAATTATATCACAAAATATACATTGAATATGTTTCTTTTTTTCTTTTTCTTTTTTTTTAAGACAATATAATTAAAATAATTTTTTTTTTGTCATTTTTGTCAATCAATCACAAGTTCAACATTTTATATAATTTCCTCTGTCCATTGGAAGAGTAACATTTGCTTTTTTGCACTTAGATTTTTTAATATTAATATTATATTGGATTATAGTGAAAAAGACAAAAATATCCCAATTAGTATGGTGTAATATAAAATGAATGATATTTGTGTAATATATTGTAAGTTAAAAAAGATATTTATTATGTTAAATAGGTAGTACAATTACTAAATTAGGAAACGGTAACTTTGATACGAATGAAAATAGAAAATGATAACCTTTCAATGAGACAGATGGAGTATTTTTAATCTTGAATAATCCAATGTTTTGTAAATTTTTCTTTATTTGCACAAAGTTTTTCTTTATTTGTATATTTTTCAAAAATAATTTATAAAAACACACCAAATTAAAATAATTAAGGATATAAAGTTTAAAAAATTCTGAAAATTATTTTATCTAAGATACTAAACCAAAGGTTAAAAAAAATTATGTCTAATTAATGAAAACAAAATTGAAAAAATTTCGACAATGTGTATTAGGTTGACAATTAACTACTATACTCTTTATTTATTTATTTTTAATTTCAAAATTCATTTTGAATATACACTATTGACGTATAATTTTTAAAATTGTTAAGATACTCTTTAAATTAAATATATTATACCATAATCAAATTTACAACTAAATAACAAGGAGTTCAAAATTTTGATTTAATAAAATAAAACTTTTATTTATTAAAATAAAAATAAAAATTATATGATAAGCATGAACTGACTACCCAGCCTATTTGTATTTTATTGTGACAGAAATTACGTAATATTCTTATTTAAGCTAATATTTATCATCTTTTTTATATATACTTAATGACGTGTTTGAACAAAAATGGAAAATTTAAATTAAACAATTCATGTTGCAAAGTATGTCTAATTATATTCTTGCATGTTGGGGAAGTGATTTATTGAGTAAAACATATTCGAACAATTTAAAGGGCCAACTCTCTAATCATGGACGTTCACAGTTATAACAACGAATGACAATGCAGAACATAAAATAACAATGAAACAGGTGCTTGTTGGCCCGGTTCGATTATCAACAAATCTACATCCGGAATACCAATCTAAGAGGAATTCCACTAACCAGTGCTGATTAAGAACACAAACAACCACAACTCATTTAACTCTAACACTTGTCATGGTTAACCCAGGAAAATACCTCATCAGGTTCGCGTTGCTACAACCTCGTACTAACAACGACCAGAAGTCCAGAGCTTGATCATTCCCTCCGGTTGGAACTCCATTAATTTCGAACACCTTCGACCTCTCAAGTTGATATCAGTGTAGAACACACATTCAAAATATGGAGAGTTAAATTGGATGAGTGGTGAAAGCTTTTCACAATAATCGTCTCTCCAATATATGCACAACTCACACACCACCAACTTGTTTGTTTTCTTTGGTTGTATATTCTATGCATCCTTGAAAATAACACACTTTACATTAATTTTTCTTAGCATAGAAAAAGATGGAATGTTCTCCAATGATTCTACATGAGTCTGACCATCCCCTAAATACCAAGTTTGACTCTTGCAGACATTTAATGTTTGGACAAAATGAATAATTCAAAGCACACAGATTCAGACTGCGACCGGGTTGCAGAGACAATTTTACTGCAACATCAGACTACTTGAAAAGAAAAATTTGCTGGAGAAAATAAAAAATATTTTTGTCCATTTTCCAAAAATAACAAAGGTTTCTTTCGTTCACATTGCACGTCAATATTATATACAATCTAAATTTGAATCTTATAATAATTCCAAAGAAAAGTCACAATTTTTTATTTTTAATGCAAATCCAGCAACTCTTTTCCAGATCAATAAAAGGAACAAATTGTTTGAGGTTGTTTAAACTCAATAAAATTTTGTTCAATAAAGTAAAGAAGTTGATCTCAAATAAAATTGAGCTTATCTACTTCTATTAATTTCTGTTTTTTATTTTTAGATACAAATAGTTTAAAAAATATGCCTAAGACCATACCAATTATTTATTTATTTTTTAAATATGCCCCTTTTAAAAAATCACCAGAAAAACAAACAGTTGGTTTTAATCTTGTTTTCACACCCTTTATAATATTATTACATTCCATACATGTATATTTTTATATAAAATACTTTATCTAAAATTAAAATTATTATTATTATTATAAAAATTAAAACATCACATGATTTTATTATTAATTTTTATGTATAAAATTTGATAGACAAAACATCTTAAACTATGACCATACCATGGTAACTAGTATGATTATGTTTTGGGCTCCATTTAAACAATATATTTTTGAAATTTTTGAAGCTTTGAAAAAATTGAAAATAATATAAAATTAGTATTTGATTTAATATTATATAAGAGAAAAATAAATTTACTGTGATATTTTAATAAATAAATACTACTACACTTAAATTCAAAAATACTGTGGAAACAACTCTCTCCAATGTAAGTGCCATGTGGTTAATTTATTAGCCTATATGAAAAAGGGGCATGCAATAAATTAGAGCATGCAAAAAATGCAAAAAAATAAATAAAATAAAATAAAATAAGAAGAAGAAAAAATATTATTTGTCAAAACATCAATAATTGGTTAATTTATTAGCCTATGTGAAGATGGGCAGCAATTAAGTTAATTAGAGCATGGGCGAAATTTTTTTAACATCATGCAAAGCTAATAAAAAATATTGGTCAAAACATTCAATAATGAACACATATAGTATGGACATGTTTTTTTTATTTATTTATTATTATTATTATTATTACTATTTTTATGCCGAAAGATTTTCGATATTTAGTTTTAAATTTGTTAAATTTAGATTTAGATTTGGTGATATCCATTGTATTACGATTACTTAGATTTGAGTCTATCGAGTCTGTTTTAGGTTGCCTATATATACGCCCTATTTTGATTATCAATAATGCAAGCTTTAGAGCATTCACAAAATATTTTAACATTTACTTAATTTATTATTTTTTAATGAGAATATTATATCCAACATTTCTATGTTAAACATTATATTTAATATTTATTCTAATTAAAATTTTATTATGTTAAAAAAAATACAAAACAACACGCCCTTTTACATCCGATAGTCTGTACATATGATGGGATGAATATGCCGTCAGTTGTAAATAAATAATAAATATGTTTTACCATTAAAATATATGGGTTTGTTTGTTCAAAATAAATTTTCTATTTGATATAATTTTTAATTTATATAATACTCTTTTTCGTCTAACTAGAAAGTATACTTATTTTGAGACGTCCAATTATAAAATAAATATTTCATTAAATACCTCATTTCTATTTTTAACTACCCACTAAACACGGCACCAAAAGTAAATATATATTTTATTCGTGGACGGAGGGAGTATATGATATTTTTCTCATAAAAAAAAAATAATAGTCAATACAAGATATTATTTTTATATTACTAACATCTCGTATCCGTAATTATTTTTCTTGTCTTTTAAATGTGATCCTAAAAAAAAATATATTTTGCAAGTGTCACAATTTTGCTATAATCATTTTCAAATTCTTTCATAATTCTACCACTACAAAGAAAAAATCATTTTTGTAATAAAATTTTTTTTGTCGTTAAATCTACTTTTTCCGTTACTAATGACATTAGAGACGGAATTATGAGTGGAATTACGTTAGCTACGTGAACTTTAGGGACGAAATTCCGTTACAAATATATTATTTTTTTGTATAGATACCTTTGCGAACTATGATAATTATATTTTCAATCCATCGATATTGAAAGCATGTCATCATAATTTTCAACTTGTTTGGACACCTGATTGTATGATTTTAATTTTTACATAAAATAATTTTTTTGATTGTATGATTTTTTTTCAGAAAGAGTTTTACATTTAATTTATATATTTTTATTATATTATATACTTTTTCCATCCCACTTCAAAAAATATATATTTTTTTAGATTTTGTAATATATTAAAAAATAATACTAGTA